TGTAGATATTACTCATCTCTTGACCTTGCTAGCGGGTATTTGCAAATTAAGCTTAGTGAAAGGGCCTCAAGAAAATGTGTATAATTACTGAGGATAAAATTCATCAAATGATAAATTTACCATTCGGTCTTAAAAATGCTACTAGTGCGTTCGCGCGAATAATGGATCATGTACTTACTGGACTTGAAAATGTGATTGCTTATGTTGATGATATATTAATTTTCACTAAGTCTGAAAATTTTGATGAGCATATTAAGGCCCTCAGAAGTGTTTTTGAAAGATGTAGGCGTTTTAATTTAAAATTAAGCCCCAAAAAGTGTACCTTTGCTTCGGCATTTATCAGGAATTGTTATTTACTCTTCGGCGGCTGCACGGAATTAATTACTGACAATGCTTTGGCATTTACTTCAGAGTTTTTCAAAAGTCTGTGCAATGTTGTACATTAATAAAACGTATGCCATACCTCATTGGAGCAAAGGCAATGCAGTGACTGTGAGGTCATTCAGAAAATTCCACGATATTCTCGCTAAGTGTATTACTAAAGACCAGCCAGATTTCGATGAACATCTTGAATTCGCCAACTTTTGTTATAACACCTCGGTCCACCATTCAACAAATGAAACCCCATTCCTTTTGATATACGGCAGAGATCCAATCTTTTGCGTTGATTTAATTCTTGATCCTAAAATTAGAGATCCTATAGCATCAAATGATACACAAGAAATTAAACAAAAATTAATAGTTTCTTTGCGAAGCGCTTGGAAATATGCAGCGGAAGCCAATTTTGAGGCACAGCAAAGGTCAAAACAGATAGATTAGGAATCCCACTGTAACAATCGGCGATAGAGTGCTTCTTCGGAATTATGCTGGTAAAATAGGCTCATCCAATTTAATCAGCTTAAGAAATGTATAGAGCCACTCCCGACTGAACCGGTTTGCACAACTCCTAGGTTAGAAGCAGAAGAGTTGGAAGCGTTAGAAGAATCTGGTGCAGAATAAATAGTTAACACGCCAGGATTCTCGCAAAGTAAAGTAGCTGAGCCAAATTCAGAAGTAGCAGAAGGTAGTCAGGTTGAAGTAGTAGTTCGCCAGGGACTAAGTAGATACAATTTAAGAAAAAGCCCAAAAAACAGATAATACTTATAATTGCTTCGGCTATCAAATGGATTTAAAATTTAAATTTAATATAAAAAATATATAAAAAAATATATAATATTCCTTTAATTAAACAAATTTCCTAGATTTTCAATAGTTTTGAGATGTGCTTCAACAAAGTACCGGATCCTGAATTATGGAAGAAAGATGAAATGGAAGAAGAAAATATTATTAATGAGGAAGAAGAAGAGCCCAGGAATATTGAAAATGACGAAGAACCAAGGGTCAACATCTTCAGAGATTGGATTGAAGTTGTTGAAGAAGATTGGCCAGAAGAAATGGAAATGAATGAGGTTGACGAAATGGGTAAAGAGGATGAAGGAGAAAAGAAAGAAGAAAATAATGAGGATAAAGAAGAAAAAGACGAAGAGGAAGAAGATGATGATGAAGAGATTGAGCTGGGAATTGAGGTGACAGAAGCTATTTGGAATTGAGGTGACTGAAGCCCATTTTGCAGTGAGAGTTGTTAAAAAGATAAATCTTTCCCAAGTTCAGTCCTTCGGGAATAAAAAGTTTGATTTTTGGAAAAGTGTTAAGGTTATTAATGTTCAAAAGCGGAAGAACAGGGATGTTGAGCAGGAACTCGAAGACGCGAAAGATGGCGGTTTTATTGTTTGTCATCCACTAATATTCAAAGGTCTTGAGAGTCGACGTGATTGTTTTGAACAACACTAACCGTCGATGTTGTCAGCCAGAGTACGAATCAAGTTGAACTCCTCCTCGCCTTAGTAGCTCGTGAATTTGAAACAGATTTTGATGATGAAGAACCAAATGCCTCGGCAGTCCTCATTGTTCACCCACTAATGAATATGTTAAACGGAAAACAGCAGAAGACCGCTAAAATTCTCTTGGAAGATGATTTCAAGTTTGTTTTCCAATAGGCGCCACCAGGCGTTTGAAAGACTCATTTGGATTCAGTTATGATTCCTTTTTGAACAATGTGAAGGTTGCAGTTGTAGCTGCAGCTAATTTGCCTTTGGCAAAGCTAGCCAAGAAGTTGGAGGAGGTCCTCTGATGTCATGCGATGGCGGATTCCAACGCAATAGCATTTTTCTCTGGCTATTTGATATTCTTGAAACTTGTAGACAGGACAACACTTCTCACTCTTTGTGCAATGATGAACATTCGGCTTCTGCCATTAAATTGATTTCTGCGTTGTACGACAAAATTTCCACCGATTTCTCTGGCTGTTATTTGTTTATGTACTTTTCAGAAAGAGTCTCTCCAAAAAGAGTTTGAGGATTTGGGTTGGAATGTTTTGGCCATACTGTGTAACAACTAGGTCTTCGAGTAGAGCTGATGGCCTTGGAGACTCTTCGGAGTTTCTCAAGGATGACACGGTGGCGTGAGTCGTGCTAAGCATGCTCTCCTCGTTATAGCTGACGTTGAAATACTTCGATGTAGAATTATCTGGAATCGGTTCATCTGTTGTGCAACTGAGTTCACTCAAATTGTCGGTCCGGAATATCTTCAAGTCCTCCAGTCGGGTAGTTGTATGCGAGATAGGTTCGGTCAATTGTTGTCTTCGTCGGGTCGGATGGTCGGTGACTTTGTGGATGAGCAGTATCCCCCTCAACAGCAACAACAACAGCCTTCAACATCTTCATATGGTTTCGGCCGCACTTCTGGATCAACTAATAATTGGAGCAGAAATGATAGGAATTCTAGAGATAATGAGTGGTTTGAAAAAGACTTAAATTTTAATAAAAATAATATAAATACTAATTTATCAAATTACAGGAAAAGACCAGCTGAACAAACCTGGAAAGAATATGCTAATACAAATTTGAGAGGAGCAGGACATGTTTAGGACATTTTTTTTTACATGTTACATGTTTCAACTGTGGGCGCACTGGACATATTGCTCGAAATTGTAATTGGAATACTTGAAGGAAGAATGAGAGTTGGAGAGGCAGAGGAGGAAAATATTAAATTTGTGTTTTTAATCAATTAAATTTTTTTTTGTACTTTAAATCACATTCTCACTTCCTTTTAATTATTTTAAACTGAATTTTATTCATTAATGTAATGTCATTTACAAATCTTTCCCATTATTTGTTTTGGTTTTATTAATCTTAAATTTTTTTATAACATGCCTTACCTGTAATTTCAATTCCTTCACTTAATCAAAATTATTTAAATTTATTAATTCAATTTTAATCATAGTTCATTTATTTATACATTTTAAATGTCAATCAAAATGTTTTCCCAATATTTCTTACCTATTGCTAATATATACTTAAATTTTTTTTTAACTTATGCCAATTTGTATTATTCCACTTATAATTACATTTTGTCATTTTTTTTACAAAATTTTTACCCTCACTTAAATACATTTTATAATTATATTTTTAAGCTTAAACTCTCACTGATTACATTAAATTTAATACATTTATTAGTTTCATATTTTAAATGTTTAAATTCTCAAATTTCACTTAATTTGTTACAAATTTTTACAATTATATTTATAAGACTTACTCCCTCACAAATTATTTACATTTACTCTATTAATTTTTAAAGAATCTTTCACAATTACATTTAAAAATATCCCAAATTTTTTTTAAATTACTATTTATGCTCTTCTATTATATAATTCCCAACTTCAAAATTATTGTTTTTGCAAACTTTTAAAATATACCCATTTATACCCACAAATCAAATGTTATTTATGTCAAAACTTTTACATTAATTTTAAATGTTTATTCAAAATACTTAAAACTTTTTCTATTAACCTTTCAACCAAACCATTTATACCCAAATTTATTTTGTACGTTATTTTTAGAATATTCCTTTTCCAATTCTCTAAATATTTTCTATTACAAGTTTTACTCCACTCATTTGTACCCAATTTTTTTTTGTCACATTTCACAAACACTTCGGTAGTTTTCTGGATATTTTTAAATTTTATTTCACACAATTGATTTATGAATTTATATTTTTATTCAAAGCGTTACCCGTTTAATTTATTTTATAATTTCACAAACATTTCAATGTCACAATTTATCCTTATTTTTAATTTTTGAAATTTATATGCATTTTTACTCGTACCCATATTTTAATACAAAAGGAAACATACTCACCTGAAACCTGAAGAAATTTTAGGAATACAACCCCAACTAGACTAAACAGACTCTGAAACTCTTACAATTACAATTATATCAAACCCCACTACTTAATAATATCAAGTGAAATTTCTCATGAAATAATCGATAAGCACTAAAAATGGACCAGGGTCGGTCCAAAAAAGGAAAAAGGAGAGATATGCTCGAAGAGCACAAAAAGAAATGTGATAAATAAAGAAGAAATTTAAATTAGGTTCGCCATCTCACCAGAGTGCTTATCGATTGAGAAAATAAATGTGAATGGTCATTATTTAAGTAGTTTGGGAAACGATGAAAAATTAAATTTTGAAAAATAAAATAAAGTCTGTTAAGTCTAGATTAAGACCAGGGACGGTCTTGATGGGGAAGGGACGTGTAAGGGTCAAAGGTATTCTCGGAGTTTGTTTCCTATAGTTTATAGTCATTTCATTATTATTCATTTCCCTCCCACTTTTCTCACACATTTAAAAGGATTTGTAATCACCTTACAAGTGTCTTATTATTCTTTCACTTTAATAAAAGAATTAAATAAATGCTTTAATATTTGGATTTAATAAATATATAAATTGTGTGTTCAATTGTGTATGCCTGGTGCAGGAGATCAACTGGGGGCCTGATCAACCCTTAAGTTTATCCTAGGAAGTCCCGGGCATATTCCCTCCCGTATTCCATTATCTGGGGTTTGGGTCCACCGCATTGGTTATATCTTATTCCGGGGGTCCCACCTCTACTATTTACAAAAAGATCTTGAAATGAGGGAAATAGGAGGGGGAGATGAGTCAATTGAATTGGATGAGCCAAATGTTGGTAGGGAAGAAGAGAAGGAAATGAGAGAATAAAATTAAAAAAAGGAAGAAGCAAGGATTGCCTGTTGTTTGTATAGTAGCTAATAACAATTTGTTATTTTATGCATCAACAGGCAATTCTTACATTTATCCTTCATGGGTGTCTTTTTTGTTATTTTAACAAAACAAGGATGAAGACAACTTTTTTAAATCAAATTTTGAAAATAATAATTTTATATGGTTTATTAATTTAATTATTGTCTTCAACTTGTTATTTACAATTTGTTGATTTTCACTTTTGTTGTTTGAATATTTTTATAGAGTTTAATGACCTTAAATTTTAAAATTTTATTAAGAGAAGCTTTTAATGCAGTTTCATATTTTCAAATTTTTATCAAATTTAATATTATTTTCTTACTTTTTTAAGATTCTTGCCATTAATTTTTCTAATTTTTATTTCAACAATGACTGCTCCAGGAAATACGTTGGTCGTTCATGGTATATTTTCTATTCCATTTTCTTAATTTTACGAAACCGATGTGTTTATAATTTCAGTTGTCTCGGCTCGCGGCCTTTACGTCAAGGGCGGCAAAGCAGTTGATGTTTACTGTTCTCTGTCAACTATGGGCAAAGGCGCATGGAAAAGCAAAGTGAGCACAAATCAACTTAGGCTAGATCCATCAATTCCTGAAACCGAACTTAAATGGGATGAACATTGCGAATTGTTTGTTTTTTATTTGTTTTTAGTAGAAAAAATTTGCCGTCATAGTAAATATAAAGGGGCGAGAGCATTTCCCACTCAACGTTACTTTAGTTAAGTTGGTAAGAATTTGTCCATAGTTGGGTTTGGTTAACGGTACAATCCTTGTCCACGTTAATGTTTTATTTTCTCGCATATCCTCATAAATAAGCCGGGTGGTGACCGATTTAAATGGTTTTCCACTGTGCAAAAGTGAGGTAAAGTAAATTAGTCAAATGAGAGTAGCAGTTTTCCTTTTAATGGGCTTCTGCCTAGTTCATTGGACACAAAAACTGTTTTAGATTTTTGAATGCAAGTCAATTAAAATTAAATTTTTTAGTCAACTTAACGAAATGGATACAAAATTAGTCATCCATATTAACCATAAAACTTCATTTGGCACAACAGAAACATTGGGGGAATATATTTTTCAATTAGAAAGGATGCCTAGAGTTCAACCTTTAGCTTGGTTTAAATTATCAAAAGCAGGAAGGTAAAAAATGGAAATTTGTATTTTAAAATATTTTTTAAATTAATTTAGTGCTCTTAATCCACATACCACAACTTCTAATAAAAATAGAGGGCAAATTCAATTGGGCTTTCAATTTTCTAATTCACTCGGCAATCGCGGGGCTACATCTGTCTCTAATATGTCTTTAAATAAAATTGATAAAGGTTTTTTTTTTAATATTTTTTTTCAAAATTGTTGATTTAAGAAGGTAAATTATATCGCCTTCGTCGAAAAATGCAACAAATTGGTAGGAAGGCAACGGGTATGGATGATACAATATCAAATCAAGGAGATGATTCTCAATCTTTTGCTTCTGTTTCAATTAATAACCATCTTGATAATCATCATTATGGGGCAGATGATCATCGTCGTTCTTCTCTTTTGTCTACAAATTCCGCCGCTCATTTGGCTCTTTCTTCACCATCTCCTAATCCCTCAACACAATTATTGCCCGATGATTTAACTTCTGGAATTAGAGGACAATTAGCTGATGATGCAATCTCTACACAATCAACAACTTTTGGTGTTGGAGGGACACCTCGCCATCCCTTTACTAATCAAAATGCGAATTCTTTATCTGTACAGAATATTCAAGTTAGTGGATCAAGCCGTAATATTGGAGGTAATTCTAATTTTGAAATTTTTTTTAATAAACATGCCAATCTAGCTAAAGACCAAAGAAATGTTTATGCCAATACATCAAGTGAATTACCCTCTTTTGAAAAACAACATCTTCATCCTAATGCTTCTTCTCAAAGTTTTGATTTTGAACAAAGCTCTATAGGTATTTAAATTCCTTTTTAGTTTAGTTAACGAATAAAACTTCAATTTAGATGGAAATCGTTCAAGTATCTCTGGTGGTTCGGCTTTTGGTGGAATTATTGTTACTCCAACTTTAATTAGAGAGGAGACTCTTTTAAATGATGAGGTTCTATAAATTATTTTTAAAAATTTTGTTTAATCAATTAACAGCAACCACAAGTATCTTCTAACAAATTGCGTGTAAAAATGCGTCAAAAAGCGGAACAATTACTTCAATTGCGTGGATTAACTGGAGGCAACAGTTCTTCAAAAAAACAAAATTTAACAAGACAAGAAGTATCAGAATTTCCTGATTTTGCTGACAAACTAAATCGCCGCGATTCTCTTGGCTCTTCTTCTGGATTTGTTTCTCTTGGCTCTGGGCAATTGGGGGCTTTGGTAAATTTCTTTTTTAGGGAAAATTTTTTACTAATTTCTGGCTTTTAGAATGAACATACTTCGCCTGATTATTTACTTAATGTGATAAAACATTTGAGAAATGAGTTGATGAAGAAAGAAGAAAGGATTCGAAGTTTGGAGGAATATACAGACAAATTGGTGGCAAAGGTAGATTTTTTTGTTTTTGTTAAAACTTGAAAAACATATTGGGCTGTTTAGGATTCATCCTCACCCTTTTAGGAGAGTAAATATTTTAGAGATGAATTAGTCACTATTTTATTTTTCAATAGAAAGATTCTGTCTTCTCTTATTTTTTTCAAAAAAAAATTCTTTTTTTTTCTCAGGTGATGGTAACAAACCCAGAATTACTTGCCGCCCCTATTAATACTTCAACAACAAAAATTATATCAAAAAAGAAAAGGCTTTAATGAATAGAAATTTATAAAAAAAAGTTTATTATAAAAAACCCTGCCACCTGCGCTTAAAATAAAAAAATATTTTTAAAGCCCATCTTGCTGTCTATATTAACATTTTTATTTTAAATATTTACTTTTGTGTATATAAAAATAAAATAAATATTATTTTTATAAAATAATTTATTCAACTTTAATGCACAAAATAAATTTAAAATAAATTTAAAAAAATGTTCTTTTTTTTTTTTTGGTTAAAAATAATTTAACCAAAAAATAATAATTTCTGGTTATAAAGATGTTGAAACTTTTTAAATTTAAATTAAAAATGTTTTTAATTAATAAATTTCAATTAATATTTTGAGGCAATCTCCAAATTATTTTTTGCCTTAACTTTTTGGAATTTTGTAGATGTTTTTTTCAGAATTTCTTTTATTATTTTTATTTTACACGCGTCCGTTTCTTTTATTTTTTACATTTTTATTCATTTACCCTTGCCCTTTCTTTTCAATCTGAAAGCTTCCGCCCATTCATTGCTTTACAACAAAATTTTCAAAAAAAAAATCCTTCAATTTTTCTCGTAAAAATAAAATGTTCTTACGTGTATATACACAAATAAATTCTTCCATTTTGCCATCTTTTTTTGTTTGTCATTTTATAAAGTGGAAGAAGCATTAAAAAAAACAATTTTTCAATGTCGCTTTTCTCACATTGGTGGAGTGAATTTATTTTTAATTTTAGGTTTTAAGTTCGCCTTGAATTTCCCATACGATTCAATTACTTTTTATTTTTTACAAAAAATTGCTAGTATATGTAGGTTATTTGCATTAGACTATGGATATTTTTTTCGATCCTTAAATGAAGATAATAGAAATTTCGTATATACTCTATTAATTACCCTGGGTAATTAATAGTTTCAACCTCTTTATGGAGGGAGTAATTAATAGAGATTATTTTATGAAAGCTAGTTATTTTCAAGGGGTAATTATTGTTTCAATCTTATTTTCCACATATTTTTAAATTTTTGTTTTGATATTAAATAAAAATTCCAATCATTTTCAAAAAAAATATATTTAACACTTAATTATTCATGAAATAATTCATATACTTTTCTCTCTCATTCTCTTTATTTTTAAAATCAAAGATGAATCATACAAAAATTATTAGAAGAAAGAAAAAAAAGAGTATGTATATTGACCTAAAGCCAAGCATTTCCTTCTTTTTTGTTTAAAAAGAATTTTCTGTATTTTAATTCCTTGTTAAAGCCGTTTAAAAAATTATTTTTTAATTAATTTGCAGCTGAATTTAATTTTTTAAATTTATATTTACTCTTTCCTAGACATTTAAATAAAAAATAAATATAAAATTCCAATCTTTTTTTTCAATTCAAAGTTTTATTTTTCTCTCCCTTTCATTTTTCTGTGACAAAAACAATTCAAATACTTTTTAAAAAGTTGGGGGGGAGGGAGAGACTGACTGACAGATGGGGACAAAAATATTGTAAAGTAATTAGTAAATAATTTATAAATTAAAGAGCAAATTATTTTGTAAAAAAAAAGAAGGGAAGATTTTTTAATTAAAAAATATACAAAAATGATTTACAGTCTACAATCTCTATTTAAGATATCTTGGTGAGAGAGAGAGGACTGTTGCCAACAGAGATGTTTCGAAATTTCGATTTTCGATTTCGATTTTCGATTTTCGAGGGTTTTTTTCTTTCGATTTTCGATTTACGATTTTCGAAATTTGACGATATTTTCGATTTCCGATTTTCGAATTTTTGAAAAAATTTGAATTTTTGGCGCCAAAATGGAGGATTTTTGGCTCATCGGCCATCATAAATTTAAAAAATTTTCGCCTGCGGCGCAGAAAAAGGAAGATTTGTGGCTCAAGGATCCTCCAAAATTCTCAAAATTTTTGCCTGCGGCGCAGAAAATGGACGAGTTTTGGCTCAAGGATCCTCCAAAATTCTCAAAATTTTTGCCTGCGGCGCGGAAAATGGACGAGTTTTGGCTTAAGGATTCTCCAAAATTCTCAAAATTTTCGCCTGCGGCGCTAATTTGAAGAAGCCCTGATATATTAACAATATTATGCTTCGGCTCCGGTATATTGGAGGATTTGCTTGAATTAAGGGGGATTTGGAAGCCCCCCCCCATGCCAGAACCCTATGCCAGGTACCGCCCAACCCTATGAATACTAGCTCTTTACTATATCAGGGGACTACTACTATATCCCCAATTCCTTAGAGTTCAAGTATAAGTTCCAACTTAGACCTAACATAACAAAAAATAAATTTCCAATTTTTTTATTAAAAAATTTTTTTTCGATTTTCGTTTTTCGATTTTCGTTTTTCGAGGTTATTTTTCTTTCGATTTTCGATTTTCGATTTCGAAGATTTTGAAAAATATTTTCGATTTTCGATTTCGATATTTTTGGATTTCTTTCGATTTTCGATTTCCGATTTTCGAAGATTTTTTTGTTTCGAAACATCTCTGGTTGCCAAGTGATTATTTAATAAAAATATAAGATAAACAATTTTTCAATCCAATCTCTCTCCTATAACGAGATTATATATAGTATATTTTAGAAAAATTAATTAATTTAATTATTATCCCATTCCTTTTCCCATCCAGAAACACTTCTCATATTCCCCCTTCCTCCTCTCCCCGTAATCGGCTTGAAAATTACGTAATTTCAACAATATTTATTTAAAAAACTAAAAAATCTTTTGTTTTTTTAAATTTATTTATTTTCCCTTAGGGACAGATTATTTTCTCTTTTTTTTAATTTTGTATTTTTTTTTTATTTTCTTCCAAAAAAGGCATTTTTTCTTTTTATTTTAACAATTTTTTATATCCATCAATTAGCTATTTTTATTTAAATAAAAACTTTTTTTTTATTTCAATCACCCCTTTTATTTTCTTTTCTTTAAAATAAAAATAAATAAAATGCAAATTTCATTCATATTTTTTACTAAAAATATTTTACAAAAAAAAGAGAAAGTCTGATCAATTTTAAATAAATAAATAAATAAATATTTTGTTTCTTTGTTTTTCCGAACAAATTTTCTTTTATTTTTAAAAAATTAATTTTGCTTAGATACAAATATTTATTTTAGGGAGAGAATCGAAATTTAGAAAATAATTTTAAATATTTATTTACTTTTTAAAAATTATATTTTTCGTTTTTGTTTCTTTTATTTAAACCCATAAATTTATATTTTTAAAATTAAATTGCTAATTATTAGTTAGACAATTTCCATTCTTTTTCTAAATAAATAAATATTTATTTTTAGTTTTTAATGTTTAATAATAATTTAATTTTAATTTTTTTATTTTTATTATTAATTAATATCCAAACAATTAATTTAATTAAAAATAATAGTAATTCAACAAATTTTTGGTCTCCACATTTAATTGATCAAATAAGTCCATTTAGGTAATTATCTACAGAGAGATCCTTACTAGAATATAAAATACACCAAAAAATATTAACCTTTTATTCAATATGGATGGGGGATGTGTTACTCGAAACCGGATCCGAGAAATTTTTTAAAACCCGACTTTTTTCTCAACTCTTCCCATCCCTACTAAGGTTGGGGCTTTCGAGTCGAGCCGACGTTCGAGTCATTTTTATAGGGCCGGCCCGACCGAGTCTTTTTCGGGCCAAAATTCAATGCCTGACTTGATTTTTTGGACCGGGCCGGATCGGGCCCTCAACCCTAATCCCTACCTAATTATAAGAGACAATTCTTCAACCAAAAAAATATTTTTATATTTTATAGTAAGGAGGGGTTAATTATTTATTTAAATTAATTTAATAAAAATTTAATTTTAAAAAAAGACTTAAAAAGAAGAACATATTAAATGAAAATAATTTAATAAATACTCAATGGAAAGAAAAAATTGAAAGGGCAAAGAAAAGGAAAAAAGAATTGGCTAAAAAACAAACATTGTCCTCTGATTGGCAATTACCTACTCCAGAAACACCAAAAACTATGGATAAAGTAAAAAAGAGAGAGAATATTTAAATAAAGGGAAAGGGAGGGAAGTTAATTTAGGATAAGTAGGGAGTGGGGGGGGGGGGGGAAGGGGTTTAGCTTTGATATCTAAGTCGGTACTTGCAAGTAGATAGTGAAATAATTCTTTAATTATTTATTTAAACTTTAATTAAAGATTCAATTAATTGATATCCACGCCGATATAAACTTTTTGGCAAATCAAATATCAATACATAAACGAACACCCATTTATTTACTTAAAGATAATCAATGTCTTCAAGTTAATTTTCGTATTGAAGGAAAAAGAACGAGGTAATTAATTAATTATTTTAAGGAGGTTATTTTAATTAAAAACAACAAAATAACAACCACAATTAATTTAGATAAGTAGGGAGGCTAAGTGGGGATAGCTTTAATATAATATTAAAAACAACAACGTCTTCAAGTTAATTTTGAAGACGTTGAAGAATTTGAAGACCCTCCCAATCTTCCCTTCATTTTCTTTTTTTTTAATTTAAATATTTAAAGATTATTATTATATACTTGCAACATGTATGAAGGAGGTGAATGTGTTTTAGACAAATTTTTGGCAACAACTTCAACTAAAACTTTAAAATCGTTTAATAATGAAGAATTAAATGAATGTTTTAAATTAAAACCTGTAAAAGATTTTATTTAATTTAAAATCCCTTTTCTTTCAGTGGATGGGTACTTATTCCCCTTTTGCCTTTCATATTCGTTTTCTTCGTCGCCCCCGAAATTTTAAGGATAATTTACAACGAAGAAATGGATGGCATTCAAAAAGAGAAGTAAAAAATAAAAGAATTTTCTTTTATTTAAATTTTTTAAAAAGGTTGGAAGAATTAAATTATCAGGTTTTCACCCCTGTGATAAAGCTTGTGAATCTAATCAAAATATGCTAAATACAGAATTAATTAAAATACAACCACATTATGAACAAAATAAACATTTAGAAGATCCTTTAGAAGGTTATGGATAAAAAAGAAGTATTTTTTTAATTTAACATTAATTACTGCCCATATTTTAGAGAATATATTTAATTATTTTTGATCTTTCTTCTCTTCTTTTTTTAACCCGGCAATATTTTCCCCAACTTTTAATTAATTAATAAATATAGCTTTAATATTTTCTTCTTTTTTTCTCACTGCCAATATTCTTTCGATTCCAAGAACAAAAGTTCTGGTTCTGAAACTTTTGGAATCGAAAGAATATTTACTATATCACTGCCAAGCATTTTAATTAATTTAAAAGAATTTTTGTTCTTATTTCTTTCAAAATTTATTTTTGTAAATTTACTAAACAAACACATACATATCCCCCCAAATTCTCTCTCTCTAAAACTCTATTCCCTAATTTAATCAGAATTTTAATAGAAAATGGAACAGATTTTAGAATTTTTAAGGAATGAATGATTGATCCAAAAAAACTTTTTTCTGTTTCCATTTTGCAAAATATTCTTAATTAAAATTTTGTTTTTCTTCTCTCCTTTTTTATTTAAATAACCGGTAGAAAATAGTTTATTTAATATTTACAGTCAGTTATTGTCAAAAACTACTTCAAGAGACCGGCAAAATTGTAAGATTAATTATATCCTTTTTTAGATACCCCCCCTCCTCCTCTTCAATTTGTAGTTTTGCCATTAATTACTGTATTTCTCTTTAATTTTTAAAAGAATTATATATTCACTTTTTTAAATATTCTAAAATAAGGATTATATTAAAAATTAATAAATTAAAAATTAGTTCATATTAATGCAAATTTAGCAAAAAATAAAGATTAGTACGTAAACCATATAGCCATTTAATTCCTAACACATCAGTCCGGTCTACTGAAGATGCTGGTTCGCTCCCAGCCGCCGAATAACCTTTTGCACTAGCTGAAGGAGAGAAATATGTAGTTATAGCCCAGCTGCTTTACTAGTATAAAAACAAAACAAATTTAAAGATTTATTTAAATTTCTTCAAAAACATTCAAAACAAAAACACCCATTCTCTTTCCAAACTCTCTTTCTTTTGTTCATTGTTCTCGTTGTTTCTTCAAAAATGGAAGAAGAGGTTTGGAATTTTTATTTTTTTTAATTTTTAATAAATTTATCTTTTAGCCTAAAAAGGAGGAGCCGAATGCTAAAGAGGAGGGGCAAAATCCTACGGAGGAGGGGCAGAATCCTCAAAATGAGCAGAATCCTCAAAATCCTAAAAAGGAGAAAGAATCGGAAGTTCTTCAATATCTGAAATATAAGGCACAAACGGAACAAGAAATTCTTGAATTAAATACGGATGAAGACAAAGTAACGACAATTACCGAAAAGAATATAATTAAGAAAGTTAGGTAAAGAAATAAGTTTCGGAATAAAAAAATAATTATTTTTTTTTCAAAGGGATGTTTATGGACAAAGGGCAGCAGACATGGTTGGATCAAAAATTGATTGGGCAAGTTGGGGAGTTGAAATGAATCCAAAGGAAAGGCCAAATCCTTATGACTTTCCAGCATTCTTGAGAGCTGTAGAAGATGTTGGGGTAATTATTTAATATAAATTTTTAAAATACATATTCTTTTAATTTTTAAGGAGAAAAAAGGAGGAGGAGGGAAGCATAGAAAGGGAGAGAAAAGTGGCTACAAAAGTAATAAGCGTTCAAAGAAAGCTTCAAAAGACCTGGAAGGATTGGATACTAAAAGTGCTGCCGCTAATGAAGATTATTCGAAATTGCCAGGAGAGGAAGAGCTGTTTCCGAATGATGGAGGAGGTGGAGGAGGAAAGGCTGGGGGAGGAGGAGAAACGGCTATGGGATTTGATGAAAATGAGAAGAATGATGGTGGGGATAAAGTTGAGAATGAAGGAGGAAATGAGAAGAAAGAGGAAGATGGAAAAGATGAGAAGGATTAGTTGGAATATATAAGATAAAAACATTAGGTATTATAATAAATATATTTGTATAATTATGTAGTATTTCTAAATATGTGTATTTTATGGATATTATTGTTCAAAATATAAAACATGTATGTAAATAAATGTTTACTTAATTTTTATAATTGTATGTTTATGTACGTATAAAAAATTTTGGATATAGTTTAGTTAAGGGCCCACTCAGAAACGGGACGAAAAAAAATTTGATTTTAAAAACACGATTTGATTCGCCTCGGTTTTTGTTTCTTTCGCTGAGCATATGCTTGTGCCAATGTTGTAGTATTATTTATTTTATAAAAAGGATTTCGTCATTACCAAATAATCAAAACAAACCTCGAGTGTAGAGATCATAATTCTTCACATAATTTAATCAGATCATTTACGAAAAAGAGGAGGCCCTATCCCGAAAGAAGGGTCGAATCGTTTTTTTCATTACTTTTTATTTCTTTATAAAAATGGTCAATTTTCCTTAAAATTGATGTATGTTGATGTTTGCCTTAAGGAAAAATGGAGAAGGACAAACAATGACAGAAGAACACAGACAGACAAAACAAGGACGGACCAAACACGGACACATGTCCGACCGTTCGTGTCCGTCCTTGTTTTGTCTGTCCGTGTTCGTCTGTGTTTTATCTGTCCGGGTCCGTCCGTACGGCTCCCATACAAAATACCGAATTCTTAAAATATGGAATCTCAAAATCGCGAATCGGCTAAAAAAGCTCAAAATATGGAATCTCAAAATATAGAATCCCAAAATATCGAATCGGCCAAAAAAGCTCAAAATATCGACAATGCGGCAAAAGCCAGTTGAGTCTGAACAATTTTATCAACAACTTCGAAAAATATTTAAAAATATGCAAAAGGGTTTTTCTAGGGTAAAAAAATATGCTGATTACGAATCTGAGCTCGGATTTTGAAAAAGTCGAATCCCAGACCCGAACCGAGCTTCGAATCCCGAACCGAATTTCGATTTTCCGAATGATAGCTCATTTGAAAGAGCACGTCGAGCTGCATCGACTGACACCAAAATCAATGAAATCCGACTTTATTGGACTGAGATACAGACCCCTGAATAAACTGAAAAAGACCTGCACTCAATCGGCGGCACTCAAACGGCCCTTTTCGTTTTTAAAAAATTCGACATTTTTAACTACTTTTTAGCCGATTCGGTATTTTGAGCATTTTAGCCTATTCGAGATTTTGAGATTCGATATTTTAAGATTCCATATTTTGAGCTTTTTTGGCCGATTCCATATTTTGAGATATTTTTCCCGATTCGGTATTTTGAGCTTTTTTAGCCTATTCGCGATTTTGTGAATTCGGTATTTTGTGCAGGCACGGTCCGTACTCGTCTGTGTTTTGTCTGTCCGGGTCCGTCCGTACTCGTCTGTGTTTTGTCTGTCCGGGTCCGTCCGTACTCGTCTGTGTTTTGTCTGTCCGGGTCCGTCCGTGTTCGTCTGTGTTTTATCTGTCCGGGTCCGTCCGTACTCGTCTGTGTTTTGTCTGTCCGGGTCCGTCCGTACTCGTCTGTGTTTTGTCTGTTCTTGTTCGTCTGTGTTTTGTCTGTCTTGGTCGTCCGTGTTTTGTGTCTCCGAGTCCGTCCGACAAACAACAAGGAAAAAATATAAAAAGTTAACATCTGTCACCATTTTTCCTCAAAGCAAACATCAACATACATCAATTTTAAGAAAAATTGACCATTTTTATAAACTAATAAAAAGTAATGAAAAAAAAACGATTCGACCCTTCTTTCGGGATAGGGTCAAAGAGGATTATCCGATGGAAATATCTTTTTCAACAAGGTCAAACTTTAAGTACTCAAAACTATTTACTTTTAGGCCCCATAAAATTTGCGGACAAAACTTGCTTGTCTAAAAAATATAAAAAAACAAACTTTTGGAAGTCGCCGGTCATTGATGAGTGTTACGTTGCTGTTGTCGAACTACTTGTTTGTCAGAATTCCTCCTGAACAAGCAATTTGTCAGATTCCTCCTGAACTGAACTTTGTCAGAATTCTCCTGAACTAAACAATTTATCAGAATCCTCCTGAACTGTTTGTCAGAATTTACATCCTGAACTGAACAGTTTGTCAGCTGACAGTTTGTCGGTCATTGATGAGTGTTGACGTTGTTGTTGTCGAACTACCTGGAGGACTTGAATGACCCAGACTAACCTAACAAATAGAAAGGGTTTGGACGATGCATCCTGAACTGAATTGCTTGTCAGAATTACCTGAACTGACTTGTTTGTCAGAATTCCTCCTGAACAAGCAACTTGTCAGAATCCTCCTGAGCTGAACAATTTGTCAGATTCCTCCTGAACTGAACTTTGTCAGAATTCCTCCTGAACTGAACAATTTGTCAGAATCCTCCTGAACTGAACTGTTTGTCAGAATATACATCCTGAACTGAACAGTTTGTCAGAATTCTCCTGAACTGAATTGTTTGTCAGAGTTCATCCTGAGCTGAAGTTTGTCAGAATTCACCTGAACTGAACTGTTTGTCAGAAGTCTCCTGAACTGAATTACTTGCCAGGATTCATCCTGAGCTGAACAAGTTGTCAGATTCTCCTGAACTGAACAATTTGTCAGAATGTTTGAAAAAGCCTGAACTGAACTGTTTGTCAGAATGTGAATCCTGAACTGAACAGTTCGTAGGGGAAAGGGCCCGTGGAAGGGGGAAGTCCTCCATATACTAAAAAGTAAAATTTGATTTTAAATTAAAAAACTAAACCAACGTTTTGTTGATGTTGAAAGGTTGAACCTGCACGATATTGATGTTGAGTTGAAGAAAACTGAAAAAACATTTATTAAATTTGGTTTAAAGATCATTCATTAGCAAGTTTTGTCCGGTCCTATAGTACCCCCACCCCTAAAAAGGAGGAGAGCCAATCTTGCTGTTGCAGAACACAAGAGAGCATCAAGCTAAAAGTTAAGAGTTTAATTACAAAACTAAAAGCAAAAGTAAACCAGAAATCCTAATGTAGAATATTAACAAAACGGCCAGACATCGCAGCAACATAAGATTTAAAAGTATTGAAAGTAACTCGGCAGTTCCTTTGGGATATTTCATTTTGGGTCCCCATTAATGCCTGCATAGCAAACTGAGCCATAAAGACTTTAAAGAACAAAAGCCTCGATTTGTTGGCCACGGCACTCACCAATAAAAACCTGAAATAAAAATATTTTTTGGTATTTTCAGTTTAGTGGCCCCAAAAACGTATCAGAAATGTGAGTTACCGGAAACCCTGCCCCATTTCGACCCGAAACTCAAACCGGAGACCGAAACTCAAAAATACATTCTTGGTTCCTTGACATTTTTAGGTTAAAAACTCGGACCTAGTGAAGCCGAAGAGCCATAAAAGCAAAAAAACAAACCGTGCAAAAAACTCGAGGCATATAGTCCATATCTGTCAAACGCCATGGTCGAATCTGTACGGGTTTTTCACGGTCAGCCTCACCAAATAAGAGTATATAATGGTCCCCTTCACGATAACACTTGAAATGAGTTTCTGCACAAAGCCTTCTTTAAGATAAATCAAAAACGCATAACCAGTTACTTGTTTGTCTGATGCTAAAAGTTGAAAAAAATGTAGGAGACTTGACTAGAGGGCTGTTGGGTTGTGTACAAGGAGTTTTTCTCTAGGCCTGTTTACCAAGGTTTAGCCTATTCTGCAAAGCGATAGCGATTTCGAAGTCAATCGCCACTTAATTTTGAAGTCGCTTAACGGAACACAATGACAAATGGAATGTGAAATGATTGTACGTTGTTATGACATTTGTCGGAATATCTTTTGTGAGATAACCCCCAACTCCAAAAGCCGGAACCAGCTCAGTGGATTCGAAGTGTCCGGGCCCATGGCTAGACCCCTTTTAAAAATCCAACCTTGCTCCTGTTTAATTGTAAAAGAAACAGCAAGTTAATCTACAGGCAAGGCCAATCTACAAGTGAGGCACCAAATTTTAATCGAATTTGTAATTAGCGCCTACCATCTTGGCGATAAATGTCGTTTTAGTTTCAAAACGACACAAGCCACTTCGTCGAGTGGTCTAAAAAGAGTAAAGAAAATAGAGGGCTACCCTACAACTCATCGAATCCTTAACTCATCGAATCCTCAACTCATCGAATCGGCCAAAAACACTCAACTCATCGAATCCTTAACTCATCGAATCCTCAACTCATCGAATCGGCCAAAAACGATCAACTCATCGAATCCTCCCAAAAGAGGACGTTTGAGTCCGTGTGTTTATTTTTTTTAGATTTCTATTGTTTTGTTTATTTTTTTTGTTTTCTTCTGGGGTTTCAACTAATTTTGTTAATTAGTTGATCGGGCACTCATCCATGTCTATCCGGCCAGTGAAAACATTATCAGATAATGAGAATGTTTTCTCACATTCCTGGTAAATTATGATGGAGATTTTACCGGGTAAAACCGGACCAGATTAGTCCAGTAGACCCCGATTATGCCCAAAAGGCCTTTTTCCTAGCCTCCATAGCAGCAAAAAATTTTTTTACCGAAGATTCAGTTAGCCCTTTCGGGAGAAAAATAAACACGGGGACTCAAACGTCCCCTTTTGGAAGGATTCGATGAGTTGATCGTTTTTGGCCGATTCGATGAGTTGAGGATTCGATGAGTTAAGGATTCGATGAGTTGAGTGTTTTTGGCCGATTCGATGAGTTAAGGAATTTTAGCCGATTCGATGAGTTGAGCGTTTTTGGCCGATTCGATGAGTTAAGGATTCGATGAGTTGAGCGGGCACGAAATAGAGAATAACAGAAAAAATCAATATTAAAAACAGAAAGCCAAAAAAAGGACGCTGAAAAGGCGTAAATTTAAAAATAAGTCTCTCTCTCTAAATAACAAAAAATTTTTTCTTAAAAATTAGTGCTCGGCACCGGGCCGACTATGGCCTGATTTTGCCAGGCACTAATTCAGAGTATTTAATTCAGAGTACGGCAATTGGCCAAAAATAATTACAAAATTTCACACGTGCATTAAAATTTACTTTTCTTCCTTTAGCTTTTAATTTTTTCATTTTAAAAATGTCATATGGCGGTAATGAGCGTTCCCCGTTACTTAAATCGGCAGCTGCAAATACAAGTTTAAATGCTTATAGTGAAACTAATTCAAGTCGAGAAGAAGCTAGACCATTTGGTGAATTGCCTGTAACAGATAATTTGGAACAAAATGGGGTTAGTTTAATTAAAAGTATTTTTTTAAATCTTTTTTTAGTCTGTTTTGTCAAATTCTTCCTATCAAAATCCAGAATTGCCTTCTTTAAGAAGTCCAAATATTAGTGGGTCACCAATTCAACATAATGGGACTAAAAATCCAAAACAAAAAGAAAATATAGACATTCAAAGAGACGGGGAAGAAGATTTTAATTCTGAAGATACTCCAACACAAAATGGTTGTTTTATAATTATATTTTAAATAAATTTGTATATTTTTTAGGTCCAATGGTTGTTTGCCGTGTTTGTGAAACAAATATTCCTTTTGTTGGCAAAACAAATCAACAAGTTGTTCGGTGCTCTCAATGTCATGAGGTTTTTCTTTCATTTTTTGTTTAAAGATTTTCTTTATTTTTTGACTAAAACGAAATATTAGTTTTTAAATTTAAAATAATAATTCCAAAAAAAATTTTATTTTAAAGGTAACTCCAATCAGAGCAGCCCCACCAGGCAAAAAATATGTTCGTTGTCCTTGTAATTGTCTTCTAGTTTGTAAAGCCAGTTCTACAAGAATTGCCTGTCCACGTCAAAATTGTCGTCGAGTAATTACTTTGGCTGCATCTTCTCCCGTTGGGACTGCTGGTTTTTTTAATTAAATTTGTTTTTTTAAAAAATATAAAAGTTCGTGCCCCCGCGGGTACTTGCCGAGTTCAATGTGTTCATTGTGCTGAGGTTTTTATGTTTAATACACTTGCTAATGCTGTTGCCCATTGTCCGCATTGTAAAAATTGGTAAATTTAAAAGAATTATTTTTTAAAAATATTTTTTAAATTAAAAAAAGTTCTTCTGTCGGTGTTCGTTTTGCTCGTTCTCGTGCTGCTTTGAATTTTTTTGTTATGTTTATTTTTCTTTTAATTCTTGCTGGCCTTATAGTTTTTTTAATTTTCTTTTTTTAAATTTAATTTTTTAATTTCTTTAGTTGGCAATTAATTATTCAAAACAAAATATTGGATTATTTAAATATATAATTTTGGGTTTAGTCTCTTTGGTTACTCTTTTCTTCTTTTATCGTTTCATTTATTATTATTGGAGATTGAAGATTAGCCAAGTTGGTTTTTTTAATTTTAAAAAATTTAAGAACCCCTAAGATATTCAATAAGGGTTAAAAATTCAAATTTTATAAAGAAAAAGGGGGGGGGGGTATAACAAACATCTGGAGACCCAAATTTAATTTCTAGATGTTGAGATAAATACTTTCTTTTATTTTTTGGTTTTCACGTGCAAAATTCCTCTTGTTTATTTATAGTACAAAAATTTACTTTTTATTTCTCTTATCTTTGTATGATAATTGAAAACAAATGAAAAGAAAATTTAGGGGAAAAAACAGAATGGGGAAAAGAGGGAAATTTAATCTAATAAATAATTTTTTGGTTAAAAATTATTTTTATTTTTTAGGTTCTTGGGCCTATTTGATGAAATTTTTGTGGAGGGGAATTAATTTTGTATAGCAACGAAACTTAATTTTATATTTTGTGATTGCCAAAATGTGTCTTTTTCTGACTGAAATTAAATTTAAAGATTCGAAAAATAAAAAGAAAAAAAATAATTTTTGGAGGGTGCCTTATTAAATTAAAATTAAATTGTTTTTAAAAAATATTCTTTCTCAATTTTACCCAAATAAAATTATAGTATATCCCTCTCTCTTCCGTTTAAAATTAAAAGGAAATAATTTACTTGATGATTGATTTTATTTAAATATTAAAAAAAATATCAAATAATTATTTCCTTTTTTCAATTTTTAAAATGTTTGTATTTTCCCCATTTTCTATAGAAATTTTTCATTTTTTTGATTAAATTTGTACTTTATAAAAATAAATATAGTTTTAATTAAATTTGTAGAGCCTAAACTATCTTAAAAAATAATTTTGACAATTTTTGTATTTTCAATTTAAAATTACTAAATATTTAAAATATTTTTATTTACAAAAAATATATCTTTTGGAGAGTTCGACACTGCCGGGCCTAGGATCGGTTCTCTGGGCCGGTAACCATAAAATCCGGTATTTTTAATAAAATCTGGTTTTATGAATGTAAAGACTTTTTCCAAATTATGAAGAAATTTGTCTAGGCCCGGATGTAAAAACGGATCAATTTAGAAGAAAAACAACTCGGATTCCGAGCCCGGCAATTTGAAAATGTTAAAGTATTTAATTTAAAAATCCTCTCTCAAAAAAGTCTTTTCTTCGTTGCAGTAAATCGTTTTTCATAATTTTCATATCCTGGAAGTGATTGAAATTCTCTTTCTTGAAACAAATTTCCATCAAAAGAAATTAAAGAAATTTGTGAATTTGTTAAAAGTTCCTTTTAAAAAAAGAATTAAAATTAAAAATTAATTAAAAACTAAAAATTACATTAGTAAAGCATTCTTTAACCAAACAATTTTCATCAACTCTGAGTGTTTTAAGTCTTTCACATTTTTCCAAATTTGAAGCATTTAATGAAGCCAAACGATTTTTTTGTAAATTTAATTCAATTGCCCGCAAATTACAAATCTTTTTTTTAAATAATTTTAAAATTATTCGATTTTAAATTTTACTAATTAAGGCTAATTTTTATTAAAAAGTTCTTAGTCAACTATACTTTATTGTTAGCTAACCCAATCTCTAAAACTGGGAATATATCTTGGACATAAACAAGCAATATATTAACAAACCTCATTAGGAAGTCCAGTAATTGTATTTCCAGATATATCCAGCAATTCCAATTTAATTAAACAAGTCAAAACTATCGGAAATTCTTTTAACCGATTATTTGAAACGGAAATATTTGAAAGTGATGAACAACCGGCTAATGATTCGGGTAACTGAAAAATATTTAAATATTTAATACCAAAGGAAGGTGGAAAAGATGGAGGTATTGGAAATCAGAAAATAAAGGAAAAATTAGGAAATACCCCAAACGATGGAATTTTGAACTAGGAAAATTTTTATAATAATTAGGAATTCAGATCCCAAATTTAATACCAAAAAATTATTTAAAAAAACATAAACATCCCTCCAACCAAGAAATAAACAAACAAAACTTTTTCCAAATAATTTCCAGAAACATTCAAAACTTCCAATTTCCTCAAACACCCCAATTCATCAGGCAATTCAATTAATCTATTTTCACTTAAATGTAATTGTCGAAGCATAACAAAATTGCCAATTGAAGGGGATAAAAGTTTTAATTTATTTGAAGTTAAATCAATTGTTCTTAATTCTTCTGATAACTTTTTTAAAAAAATAAAAATAATTATTTTTTAAAATTTCCAAAAAAACCTCATCAATTAATGGGGACATTATTTTCATTCCCGTCCCTTTTAAATTTAAAGTTTTGCTTTTTTTAGCTTGTTCTAAAGCTTTTTGAATTATTGCTGTAGATGGCTTTTCTCCGACAGATTTAATTACTTTTTGAATTCTTTGAGTTGTTGAAGATGAAGATGTTGGATTATTTGAAGTATTTTCGACATTTCTTCCATCAGATTTTGTTGATTCATTTCCCATTGAAAGGTTTTATTAAGTTAAATCAATTGTTCAGAAAATTAATAAAAATTAAAATGTCATCAAAACGTCGCCAAGCAGGTTAACTCTGTTGGCAGACAGGAAATAACAAGAGAAACCCATTAATTCGCAAAACGACCTGTTTATTCGCGAAACTCTCCAAATAAACGCAAGGAATGTAAAAATGGGCAGAGAGAAAATTTCTCTCATTTATAAGGGGAATTCGTTGAATCTTATATCTTTTAGCCCTCCCAACCGAATTTTTTCAAATTTTGTAATTTTAGTCCCAAGGTGGATAAAGGATCCAGTAGATTTTCAGAAGCTAATGTGCATTTTTATTCGACCTATTTTTGGCCTTAACTCACTCCAAAGTTGTCCCTTTTCGCAAATTTTTAAGTCTCGAAAATTTAAGTCTTTTCAAAGTACAGTTGATATACATATAGTATTTTTAATGCATATTTCCATGGTTACCGAATTTTCAAATTTCAAATACCTATCTATTTAAAAATAAAAATGTTTTTCCCAAAAATATTTAGTATTGGAATTGGTGTAGTTATTTTAAGTTTAATTTGGGTATTTTGTTTATTTGGGTTTTTTAATTCTACACGTAAAAAAGGAATGTAAGTATTTAAATAAAATTAAAAAAAATATTTTAATTTATTTAAAGACAATTGGGAATTATTTATTTAATTTTTGGTTTATTTTTAACATTTATTTTAATTTTGTGGCCAAGAGAAGAATGTAATAATAAACAAAATATTCTCAAAAATTCTTCAGGTATTTTCTAAAAATATTTAAAAATTAATTTTTCTTTAAATAGAAAATGACCAACAAAAAATCTCAATTGATTTACTTGCAATTCCACGTTTACTAATTTGTTTATTTTTTATTTTTATATTTTCTTTCTCTTTATTTAAATTATTAAATAATTATTTATTTAATTTTTATTCTTCTCCTCCACAAAAAAATTTTGTTTTAAATTAAACTTTTTTTTTTGATAAAAATTTTCTTTAATTTTTTTATTTTAATAAAATTCTACAAAAATCTTTTAAAAATTCTAATTTCTATTAAGTATTTGTCAATTTTTAATTAAAATTTAGTTTCTTCTTGTCCATTTAATTTATTTGAAAAAGAATTAATTCTTTTAATATTTTTATTTTTCTCATTATCATTTTGTAAAATTCCTTTTTGATCATTTTGTAAAGTTTCTGGTCTTTTTATAATAAGGGATTGAAAAGTTAAAGACTCTAATAATATATGACGGAGAGCATTTGTTGACTGAAAATGTTAAATAAAGTAACGAAAAATTAAAAATATAATGTAGTCGGAATTGAGTGTGTCAGAAATTGGAAAAAAAATCCCAAAATGTCGGAACTCGGAGATTTTTAAAAATTTTCGGAAATCGGAAGAAAATTCAAACAAATTTTTTTTTATTTAATATAAGCCTTTACCAATTGAACATCAGCCATTAATTCGTATTGAGCACGTTGATGGAGGGCATCCAATGCCCGAAGAGCTATATCAGCATAACCATTAATTAACGCAAAATTTAATCCATTAATTGACTCAATAAAAAAGTGTGAAGGAATACTTCTAATTCTTGACTTTCTTTTAAAACAATTTAGACAAATTTTAATTTTGGAAAAGAAAACCTGCTAAAATCTGCCAAAATTTCAGTAGAAGCCTGTTCTTTAAGTATTCTTTGTCTAAAATCACTTTCTTGAAAAGAAAATCCACTTCTACAAATATATAATAAAGAATGACATAAAGATCTACAAACAACTTCTGTTGCCATGTTTGATAAAAGTTGATTAACCTTTTTTAAAAGAAATTTTTTTTCAAATATTTTTAATTTAGTATTACAGTTCTAGTTAATCTTGTAAGCACCAAAAATCTATTTTCGGCAACAATTCTTTCAATTGCTGGGAAAGGGCCTATTTGAACAGTACTTTTTGAACGACCCTTCAAATTTAAAGAAAATACTCTTTTTTTTAACATTAAAAACAAACTCTTTGAAATAATCCACCAGTTGTAGAACTACAAGCTCCAATACTACTTATTCCTGTAGAAGTTGTTGGCGTTGTTGCAGAAATAAATTTTTGATTTTGTCCATCTAATCTTGCTGAACTTCCAATTGTTTTAAGTGGTTGTTTTTTCTTTTTAAAAATATTTAGATTTAAAGGGGATGCAATTTTTTAAAGAAATTGGTAAATGTCCAGTTGGCGGTCTACATGTCCGCAAAGAGAATCCGCTCTTTTCTTTCCTTTTCTTGCATATTTTGCGTTAGGAGAAATGCTCGAATCATTTTTCCTTTTCTGCCAAAATACAATATGTGTTCCCTTTCCTACTTTCAAAATTAAACAATACCTCTAATTTAAAAAAATTATTTATTTTACAAATGATAAATTTTGGATTATACATAAAAATTACAATGATAAATTCTGAAATGTAGGGTTATTGCTATCTTATAGCAACTTTCTATGACTTCTAATATGTAAGCCCAAAATAATGTGCTAAAAAATTTCTAAACAATATTTAAAGAGACTTACACCTGTTCTACTTTATCAGGATATCGATATTGAGTAAAGATAGGGGCTAGTTTTTATATTCCACACTACATTTCAGAATTTATCATTGATTTTTATGTATAATCAAAAATTTCAAAAATTTATCATTTGTAAAATAAATATATTTTTTAAATCAGTTTTATAATTTTTATTCTGCAAGTAGGAAAAGGAAAAATACCGTATTAAGGAGGAAAAACGGAGGAAATATGTAGGAAAAATGACGGCCACTTTTTCTAACGCAAAAAATGCAAAAAGGAAAGAAAGAGCGGATTCTCTTTGCGGACATGTAGACCGCCAACTGGACATTTGCCAAGAAATTTTGTTAAAAAATTTCTCATGTATGTCCAAAAAAAGTAAGGATTAAAAACAATTCAAGAAATATCAAAAAATTTAAGTTTCACCAACTAATTCAGTCGTTTCTTCAGGTAAAACACAAATTTGAATGCTACTACTACATTGTGCAATATTTCCATAGCCACCAATTTTTAAATTATTCTGCCCTGTGGAAGCACTGTTAGTCACTGTTTTGTGTGGAACAAGGCGAAGGGAAGGAAGAGAAACTTCATCAAACTAAATTAAAAAAATAACACAAAAATATTTTTAATAATTACTCTTTTAGCCATTGAAGGAGTACCAGGGCCAGCAGCTAAAATTTCCTCATTATAAATTGCAAGAAAAAACATTTCTAACATTTTTGCTGAAGCACTCCAACGTTTTGTTAAAGACTAAAAAATTAAAAATATTTTAAGGAATTTAAAAAACCTTTAGGTAAGCATGGATAAATGTTGGGACTAATTGAAGAACAAAACAACGAGCTATACCTAAAAATGAGTGTGTAATTTATATAGAAATTTAACAATATTATCGAAAATTTTTAATGTTTTTTTATTCAAATCAGATTTTCCTATGCGCTAAATAGTCAGAGTATTTATTTTTCCATGGTGGATTTTTAATTTGGGAATTTAACAAAAAAGGTTAGCGGACTTCCCCCTGATTAGAATTTTAGAAAATATAAAAATTTATTTAAAAAATATTCCAAAAACAAACCAATTTTGTAATAAAGAGAAAGTATTTGTGTTATGAGAGGCTCGCTAAGTCTAGGATCATCAAAATTACACATAAAATAATTAAGTAAAATATTCGTTTGTGGTGCCAATTTTGAAAGAATTTGACTCCATTTTTGAGCTTCTGGGCCGGTTGAGAGAAATGCCTTAAATATTTTTAAATTATAGGAAAAATAATTCAAAAAACTTGTTCTCGTTGATTTCTTCCGCTTTCATTAAAGAAAATTTCGTGTAAATTAGCAAGCCAGTCTTGAAGCTGTTCATTGTTCATTTGTTTAACTTTTAAAAAGATTCTGTTCTGAAGGGCAAGAAAGTCAAAATTTATTCTAACCCAACCAAAAATTCAAAATAAATGAATAATAAACATAAATCAGTATATATTTAAAAATATAATTATTATACATAATTTAGAAAAATATTTTTTTCAAAAATTTATAACTAACAAAAATAAAAAGTTAAAAGTAAAAATATTGCCATAAACAATAAATAATTTAAAACCAAAAAAGTGAAGTTTAAATAAATAGAGAAAGAATTTTTAAAATAATTTTTAAATGTGTTCATTTTAAAAAAATTAAAATAAATATAAATTTGGCTATAATTGTTAAATAAATTAAAGAGAAAACAAAAAGTTTTCAAAAAATATTAAAACCACCAAAAAGACAAAAAAAAATCAAATAAATAAATAATTTAAACCATTTCTTAGTCAAAATTTAAATTTTGTCTGTAATCTTTACATTTCCATTGCCATTATAATAAATCAATTCAGCCGTCCCATCTTCTGATTGTTTTATACCATTTGAACGTTGATAATAATTCTTTCTATAATTATACCAATTCTTGTATTGAGAACTATAACGATAATCTCGCTGCTGCAAACGTGGAGGATGTTGTCGAAAATTATTTGAATTGCAATTGCTTGTTGATTGTTGTGCTTCTTCTTGATTTTTCACCTTTATATAAAAATTAATATTTTTTTTATTATTTTTGAACCCTTTTGCTTAAGAGAGGTTGAGAGGGAGGGTAAATAAAAAATAGTTGTATCTATATTAAGATTAATCATCAAACAAATAAATTCTCATAAAAAGCCTTATTCATGAATATATTCTCTAAAAAATCCGAAATGATGAAAAAAATACTTAAAGTAAAAAAATATATTAACCACCAGCTCATTTCCTTTTGACTCTTGCTCGTCTTTATTTTTTTGTTTCTCATTTTCCGTTTCTCCTTCTTGTTGTTTTGTAGTCACATTACTGTCAACATTAATATCAAGGCTGTCGCCAATATTTCCCTCACTAAAATCAAAAAAATTTGTCTTGAGGACCAAATAATTTAAATTATGGAAATCCTTAATCCACAAAAATTCCAAAGCTCAATGAAATGCTCCTAAAAACATTTTTCAGACACTCCCCAATCCCCAAAGTTAAAAATTCTAAGCGACAGCCCTGGCATTGCCATTTTCTTTGTCGTCTTCGTTGTCACTCCATCCGCTAGACGAGCCCCAATCATCTTCAGGTGAACGTGCCGGCAATGGCTGGCATGTAATTGGATGTTCGGAAAGAACTAAAACTTGATATTGTGTCCGTGGGCGAATTCTACGATTGTTATTGTTGTAATTCCATCCATGATTATTTCGACGACGTTCACGTTGGTTATTGGCGCTTTCTCGGTCACTATCATCGGAACTTAAAAAATATTATTTAAATAATCTCTTTAAAAAAATTAAAACAAACACAGGCATAGGCAAAACAACTGGTGGGGGGCTAGCCATACCTCCCCCTCCACCACCCCAACCTCCAATGTCATCAAAATCCCAATTATCTCCATCTCTAAAAGGTGAAATATGCCCATCTTGTTCTTCAAGTTGATAAGAAGCTATCTGGTTATTTAAATCAGAACGAAGTTCCTCCAACTAAAAAATAACAATTAACAAAGAAAAATTAAAAAAGAAAATAATACTTTAACTAAAATATCTCTATAAGTATCCCCAGCTTGACGTAATTGCGCTTCTACTGCAGACATTTCACAACGCAAATCTTGAACCCGCTTATCTAATCGACGTTGAAGAGTACCATAAGTAGGCCAGTTGTGGACAAGAGCATCAAACGTTGCAACCTAACAATAAGGACGTAAATAACAAAATTTGAAAAAACCTCTTCATAAAAATATTCCAAATTTGCAGGGCCAATAAAATGTTGCAATCCCGGCCATTCATTTTCCACTTGCTGCTCATCTGCTAGTTTTTCCTCAAGTGTTGGTTCAGAATCAATGTCATTAACGAGAATATTCATCCATTCCAAAAGTTCTAAAGTTTAGAAATATTTTAGATAGATTTGCTGCATTTCAACCATTTATATTATAAAAGAAAATTACCCGTAAGAACAATATTCTTCCCAAGTCGTTTATAATTGGCATAAGTGTTCTTGCGACATATCCCACACTGAATAGTACTTTTGTTCATACCCAACTTCCGGATGCAAACTAGACAAAACGTGTGGCCACAATTTAATGAAATGGGGCATCGAAGACATTTTGAATAAGGCTAAAGTGGCAAATATTTTGTTTTAACTTTCAAAAACTAAAAATACCTCAAAACAAATTTTGCAAGAAAATAAAGCACGAGTTTCAGAATTAGGCAATTCAGAGCAACGTTCATGTACATTTTCAGACATAATTGTCGACATGGTTACTGTCCTCTGTAAATTAAAATTTCTTGTAATTAAACAAAATTGATTAGAATTAAAGCAAAGGTGTAAATGCTATAAAATGAACAAAACAAAAAAATGAAAAAAATAAAATTGTTTTTGTTGTAAAATATGTATAAAATTAAAGATTAATTTTTAAGTAAAGTAAAAGACAGGAATGATTTAAAGTGAAAAAAAATAATGAGCAAATGTGTGCAATAAATACTTCGTTTTTTTTAAAAAGGAAGGAATAAATGTACATAAAAAGATTGAAGATTAAAAAAAATTTTCGTAAAAATTTATTTTTTAAGGCAATTCTCTTCTGGATAAAGCTTTTCAATAAGAAATTGATATAACGAATCTGCATCGGTAAGGCAAAAATTAGAGGAATTAATAAAATATTGTTCAGCTTCTCCAAAAACAAAATTAAATTCTGAATAAGATTTGTTGTTTTGTAATTCTCGGAAAGAAATTAATTTATTATTGAAAACATGCTGGCCACGTTGAATTCTAGGTAATTGCTTGGAAGATGTTAAGTTTTGAGAAATGAACAAATGAATAATATTTGTAATTAATTTTAGTCTGAAAAAATGATTACAATTTAAGTTCTTAAAATCAGTTTAAACCTTGTAGAAAATAATTGTCGACGTGCTAATCTACTTGTAACAAGTGAAAGAATTCCCCCGCTAACACTTTCCTCTGTATAAACACGATGTAGCCAGCTAATATATTCATCAAAATAATTGTAGAATAACACTAGAGAAGGATTTGGAAGTGTAAATAAACTAATACAAATTCTTTGCCATTCTCTGACACAAAGAATAAACGAAGGCTCGGATTTGGTTACAAATCTAAAAATAAAAATTAATTAAATATTTTAAATTTTAATAAAAATATACTTTGGTTTAATATTCAAAAGAAAATGAGAAAGTCGTTTTAATCTTGCCAATAGCGCAGTTTCCTCAGTTTTAAACTTGTTTTGTTCTAGATATGCGTAGAGAACAAGAAAACGCGGACTAAAATAAAAATGTTTAGTAATTTACTAAAAAATACAACTTTGGAACAACAAATAGAAAATCAGCTTGATGTTTCGACAATTGAACACATTTTGAAAGTTCACTCCAATTATGAGAAATGATACTATTATTTCCTTTAAAGAAAGTAAAGAGTTAAAAATAATTAATTTAATTTTACTTTTAAAATAAGCATTTATACAACTTTCAGCAATTCCGAGACTAAATTGATCGTCCAAATCAATAGGAATTTTCTCAAAATTTTTTGAAATATTCGCAAAGAGAAGTATAAGGGGAGAGTCAGAATGAGCTTCTATCCATTCAGTTAGTTTAGAATATAAATGTTCAATAAATGCAAGGCACTTTTTCTCCTGTGTATTGCCTCGATGCTGGTTAAAATATTCAGCCCAAATTTTAATAAATTCACAAACAAAATCTTGATATTCTAATTTGTTATCTGTAAAAAAAATTATGCTTTGCGTTGAAAAATTATTCTACCAGCAGAAACAACAAGAAAATTGGCCTTATCCAAAAGTTCCGAATAATATTTTAACTTTTGTTCTGATTCAATTGTATTTGAAAAAAGTCGAAGAAGAAGGCACAATTGAGTTCGAATGTAAATTGACTGCTTTTTTGGTATTTCCAATTCCTTTTGAGAAATTTGTGACGGCAAACGCACATAAAATGGAATTTTTTGAGAATATAAATATCTTTTAGATTAATCGCGTTATCCGCCCCCATTTCTTTTTTGGTATTTTCTTTTATCTTTCTCAAAAGGATTAATTACAATGACCAAATGCTTATAATTCGGAACGTTCTTGTGGATAGACAAAATTGAGACACAGAAAATCGAAAACTTGGAAAGTTATGTTTCGTTAACAGAATATATGACAGGCATGAAAGAAGGGGCTAAAAGGAAGATTTTCTGCCAGTTGTCAGAAATAAAAATATGGGCGAATAACCCAATAGAACATTTTTACATTTTAAATACCGGAATCGTAGAAACATGACAAACTTGTCTCCAAATTTCTAAAAAATATTGTTGCGCCTCGTCTAAAGAATTATTTCCAGTAAACCAGTCTTCTGAATTTGGAAAAGTTGTAGATAGGAACGTTCCGACCTTTTCAATTGCTTCAGACTTCACGTAAACCCATTGACAATTATCACTAAGAAATTTAATTTTGTTGCACATTGTGGCACGAGAGCGCTTAAAAACAAATTACAATTAATTAAATAACAAACTCTCTACTTTATAATTTGTCCTTTTTACAATACATTTAACAATTATTGAAAGCAATAAAGAATGAAATGTTCGAGTTGCATCCAATGGATGATATCCACACAAATATTGTTCTACAAGACCAGGCCAAGGTAACCGAACAAATATTTCAACAATTAAAGACGTAATATAATTATTACAAGAAGAGGATTCAGTTAATTTATCAGAATAATCTAATAATTGATCAAAAGTACCAAAATCGAGCAAAGTTGGCCAAAATCGACTCCAATTTAATGCTATTAATTTACTTTCCTTTAAGGAGATATTTTACTAGAAATAAATTTAAATTTACAAAAACATACATAAACAGAATAAATATAGAGTAAGTTAGCATTTTGAGCTCCACTACTTCTTACATTTCTAAATTGTTCATTGACAAGTTTCGAAGTAAAATAATTCCAAAAGAGAGATTCTGGACATTCACGATCTGGTGGAATATAAAGAGAATGAGGAAGCCAAAGAAGAAAATGAATAAATTGTTCAATTATTTTTGAAGCAATTAAAGTGTCGTTGTTATTCCAAGGTGGCAAGTTTGAAATTGGAATAGGTTCAAGTAATGATGACCAACATTTTAGAGAAATATGAAAAACTTTATCCAATTCTTAAAAGTAATTATAATTTAAAAATAAAAAAAAATTAATTTTAACCTTTCTCCATAATTCCAGCAGGAGCATCAGCACGAAAAGAAAATCGAACATATGAACGAAGAAAAAACTCAGACAATTTACAAATATGTTCTAGATAAGGCGACCACACAGTAAAAAGACTTGTGGTTAATTCTCTTCTTGAGGAAATTAATTGACCTTCAATTACGTTAATACATTCCAAAGCCTGAAAAAAAAATTAAAATTTAAATAAAAATTAATTAAAAAAAACCTTTTCAGCATCTAATTCTAAAAACTCTGAATTCACATTCTTCGAATTTTGTTGATTTAATAAAGAATAATCTTTTGATAATATTGAGTCGATATCTAAATGTTTCGAAATATTATCAAAAAGAGACACAGGAATATAATGTTTATCACAGCCACTCAAAGCCAGACGAAGTCCATTTGTGAAATTAAATGGAAAATGATGAAACATACTAAAATTTACAGAAAAATCGGTAATCTTTTTAAATTTAACTAACGTATGTAAATAATGTGATAAACAAAGCTCTTGTAGAGATTCATCGTTTGAACTTCGACTAATTGTTGCTGCAACCAAATTTTCGAACATAACGGGAATTAATGACTGAAATTGATTGCTTGGCAGCTGTCTTCCAGCATGTTCAATGTCTAAACGACGGAGCAAAGAAAGTGCAGCTTTTGAAGTGTTAGGTTGTCGAACAGCCAAAGATAAATTAGAATAAAGTTTGGCAAGTAAATCTGGAGGTTGGACACAATGTGGAGTAAAATGTTCTACCAATAGATGATTAAGAGGATTTCCTGCAAGAACGACAGCCATTAAATTCATTTGCTCTTCAGGCCTATTTGCAATAAAAGTCTGAAATTATTTATGAAATATTAGAAAGTTTCCAAGTTTTATTATTATTATTACAGATCCAAGGTTTTTCAGACAAGCAGACAAAACATCCATTCCTGTTGGAAATAAAAGTTGATCTCCTTGAACATTTGAACAAATCCCATAGAATAGACGTAGGCCCATTTGCAAAAACTGCTGCCTATCATTATCCGAAAAGTTTGAAGATAAATTAGGCAAGGTAGAACACGAATAAAAATACTTTCGTAGATCTCTAAAATTGTGAAATTTAGGTAAATAAGATTTAAATTTTATGATAAAAATATTATTACGTGCAAAGATATTCAAGACGAGCAGATATTAATGCCAAATGATTTGCTCTAGAAAGTATTTTTGCTGTCTCAAATTCTCGTTTTTGTCTATTGTCATTCATTTTGTCGGCAATTTCTTGTTGATATTCAAAAGGTTTTACCTAACAAAATTAAGACGTGTAAGTAATATTAAATAAACAAAACCAATTGTTCATGTATTCCAGGTCTTGGACAATTAGTTACTTGTAATATATTTCCACATCGAAGAGTAATTTGTAATTTCCTTTCAAATTGCTTATATAATTGTTTAAAAAGTTCAATATAAGTTAAATTTGATTTATCAACAAAATCTTTTATATCCAAAAATGATCTAAAAAATATAAATTTATTTAAAAAAAAAAGAACTAAAACTTGGCAGCAATATTTAATTCTTCCATGCGTGAAATAAAACGCTGAACTGTATCAGATGAAGGATCGGAAAAGCTTGTAAAAGGATTAAAAGATTTAAATCCGAAAGTTGATTTGTTTTGAATAAAATCAAAAATTTTGTCAGGAATTGGCAATTTTGTATCAATAATCAATACAGGTTTTGGCTTTACATTATCTATATTTTCGACGTTTAATTCAAATGAAGCGAAGAATTCAGTCAAATTTTTATATTCTTTATTGAATTGTTTAAAAGAAGCGTTAGAACCATTTGATAAATGACATAATTTGACAAAAAGCTGTAAAAACAGAAAATAAGTATATGTATATGTAGGTATGACAATTTCCCTTATTTCGAGTTTTTAATTCCGAAAATTTTGTTCCGGAATACCTTTGATATGTAAAAGTGTATTAAATATTTACGTTTGCTCGTTGCTGAAGAGACTTTCCATGTTGTGTTTGATCAATAAACTCTTCCCAAATTTGCTAAAATTAACTCAACTATTACAGAAAAACATTAAAATTACCATATTGCCAGAAATAATTAATTGAAGTAAATAATCCATAGGCAAATCACAATAACTACTAATTGGTAGTGAAGCCTCAAAACAACGCTCAGAACTTATCCACAAATCAAAAGCTCTTAATAAAGCATTTGTTTGAATTGGAGCAGTTGAAGGATTAATTCTATCATCACTGACATTACTACTTGAATTGCTATTTTTATGTCCATTAGAAGAATTTTGCAAAACATTTTTACGAAATTCATCAAATAATTTTTCACTTTGCTTGCATTTGTAAAATTGCAAACCCGGACAGAAAATGGTCCTTAAAGTAAAATAATTAAATTAACTAATTAATTAAAAAATACATTCCAGATTTCCTTCGTTGGAATAAATTAATAGCCAATTGTTGAAGTGCTAAAGTAAAAACAGGATGTTTGAAGTCTTTTGTGGAATCACTGGATTCGATACACAACTGAAGCCAACGAAAATAAGGTAAATTATCTACAGTAAAATTAATTCCAGATTTTGAAGAAGCTTTCTAAAAATTAACACATTTTTCATCACAAAAAATTTCAAACCTTCACAACATCTTCGAGAGAACGATTAGAATATTTTGGAAATGATTCGTAGAACTGAGCAAAAAATTCAGAAAATTCTTGTTGCTCAGCACAAAGTAATAAATAAGTTGCCCATTTTGAGACAGAAAAAAGATTTGAGCTAATAAGTTGAGGGCGAATATTTGATGAAAACCAAGAGAAAGGACCAGAAGAAGACTTCTTCCATTGCTGATTTTGTATTTTATATAATTTTTGCACCAGCTCAATTGTTCCAAAAAGTTCATTATGGTCAAAGAAAAATGCACATTCTGTTAAACATCCAATTAAGAAAAGAATATTTTTATCATCATTCCATTTATAGTTTGGTTTTTGACATGTTAACAATTGAAGCCAAGTTAGTGTTAATTCCCTCCTTTGCTCAATTTGAATGTTAGAAGTATATATTTGATACTGTAAAAGTTTAATTTAAACAATTAAAAATAATTGTAATATACAATGATTGCCGAAGAGAGAAAAGTTATTACAGGACCAGGAAATTTATCACCACCAGTAAAGATCTGTAAAGCATTATAAGCATACGATGTGTCGTCGGCATGCAAAAGGCGTTCAAAACATTCACAAAATCTTTAGAAAAAAATAATTAAATTACTTAAGGATATAAACAAACATCAAATTTCCCGTAAGTAAATGAATACGTGACGAAAATGTAGCTACTGCACGTACCAAAATAACTAAAGCCGCATAATGACATGAAGAATTAACTAATTCCAAAAAGTAACTAATCCCAGTCAACACAAATTCATTTGGGCTAAAAATAAGTTTAATTTACAGAAATATTAATTTTAAAATCACCAAGAAAGGCATTTTTGTATGCAATAAACAAAAAATGCCGTGAGATCGTTTGGAGGAGAAGGTGCATTCAACTATTAAATAAAATAATAAATTAATGTAAAGTAAAATTAACATTTTCTGATATTTTAAGTTTGATTAAAATATCCCAACAGAATCTATCAAACATTTGTTCAAGATCTGGACATTTGGTTGCCAAACGAGAAATTTTGTTAAGAGGCTTAGAAATAAGACTATTTCGTTGTTTACAATGAACAAAATGTGCCTTTTAAGAGAATATTTAAAAATGAGAAAATGGAGTAGAATATGTACTTTAACTAATGTTTCAGCACAGATATTATGGACTTCTATCGGGATCGAAACATCAGCAAATGTTGATGACCAATTCATTGAAGAGAAAACTAACCTGTAAATTGAAAAAGTTAATCATTTAATAAAAGCAATTCTCTGAAAAAAATACCTCGCAATAGCGGATGCTGGATGATTAACTGGTCTCTGAATAAGCCATTTACCAAGTCGGTCAGTGACATCTTCACAACAAAGAACACATTTATTTAAAGGAACATTTTTGAGAATATTAACGGTATAATCATCTAAATGGTCCACATAACGATCAATATATCTCAATATAGGACTAAAAATAATAGAATATATTTAAAGCCTTTCAATAAGACCTGAGCAAATTTGGATTTCTTTCAAGCAAAATGGCCATTGCTTCAGACCCAACCTTATATAAACTTTGTCGTGTATTTTCATTAAGAAAACAAATATCAATTAATTCAGTAACAAAATGCAAAACATCTTGTTCAGAATGAGAAACAATTGATGCCAAAGCTTGTACAGTATAAGTAATATCATCACTTTCTCGCAAATTTGTGCCACTACCCAATTGATCAACTAATGGGGAACAAGATTTTAATGTATTAAGTAATTGACAATCAGGAATTAAATAAAGAGAAGAAACTGTTGTAGAATTTTTATTTGGCAATTCACGAAGTAATAATTGACAACGAAGACGACAATTTTCAGTTATAGTGTCATATGGAAGATTAACGAGAAATTGACGAATTGCCGCGCTAAAAAAAGATTTAAAAAATTTAATTAAAATTTTAATACTTATTCTTTGAAGTAAGATAAAATATCGACTGTAGCATAACTCTATTCACTTCATTTTGCATTAAACGTCTTTCAGTATCTTCTAAATCTGTCCGAATTAAACGCCAATATGTGCAAAAACAAACAATAACTTTGCTAAAATTAAAAGTAAAATTGTTCAGTTAATACCTATTTTACCTAATAATATCAGCAATTCTTTTAGAAAATCCAGGCATTGCACAATAAGTGTTAAGACCATCATCAAGAATTTTAATAAGAGTTCCAACAAAAGAAACCAGAGAACAAAGAATTTGGAGTCGAATACCTTCTGAAAATTAAGAAACCCGTCAATATTTTATTTAAAATCCTTACTATGTATTAAAGTAAAATATCGAAAAGCAATGCCAAGTAATGGCCTCACAGTAAATTGAGCAAGCACTTCAATTAAATTTGCTTCGCTTATATCAGTCAATTTTCCATCTTCCTAAATAAAGTACTATCTAATATTTTTAAGAAACAATAAATAAACCATTTCTCCACTTTCAGAGACCATATTCCAACTATTTTCTCCTTCATAAAATCGAGTGATTGGCATTAAAAATTGATCACGATACCTGTGAAAATAACACAATATAAAAATTGACTGACGCAGTCATTAATTTTGTAAGTGTACAAAGAAATTCATATTTTGAATTATATTAGAGCAGAACTTTTCATATCGCGATTTTATCGCAACAGGGGTATACCCGCTCCCGAATGTTTGTTTTATCAACTAACGAGGATGAGATTAAAGATCGATCTACACTGTCCGTGTTTGTAATAAATGAACAGGCTGAATAACCTTGGATCATTTAGGTGAGATTAAATACACAAATAAAATAATTATGACAAGAGACTGAAACCCCAGACAAAAATATTCATATTTACTAAAAAAAACAAAACTTGCTTTATTGGTTGCATTAACATGTTAAGCATAGCAACAAAGTTGTCAATTGGTTTCTTTAATTCAAGAGTTGGGGTTGTCAAAAAAGTTTGAACCAAAGGAGCAGCCCAGTTTTCCAAAGGAGATGGAGTTCTTAAAATATGAGCCAATAAAAAGAATTGATCTTCACTTTTAGGAACGTCAAGTAAAATGGCAGCCTTTAAAATAGCATAAAAATTATTAATATTTTTAACAACATTAAAAACCAATTGTGTCATCCAATTAATTATAGATTGACGAAAGCGTTGTGGAATAAGAGGAAATCGTAAAAAATGAAACAAGTCAGACAACGCACCTCGTATTTCTCGTCTTATTGATGCTTAAATTAAAATTTAAAAAAATCAAATTAAAAATCTCTCACATTGTTCCAAAAGTCCAGACTCTCTAGAAATATTATTTTCATTGTAAAAACGTTCTCTCAATTCTGATATTGTCCACTGAATCTGGAATACGAGAGAACTGGCACGAACATTCTGACATAGACCAACATCAAGTTCACAGATAACTAAAGTATCCATAGCTTCTTTAAGTTGTATAAGCAATTCTGGGTGAATTTCTGCTTTTTGGTAATGAGTCTCTCCATAACCAACTCTATCACAACCACACTTACCCTAAAATTATATTTTTTCAACAAAGAATTTTAAAGTATGTAAATACCTGATGAACAACTTTATGATTGGAAATAGTCCAAACTCTTTCATTAACATTATGTGTTTCAGCAAGTTTTGAAGTTTTCAAATCATCATTTGATTGAATTTTTTCACAAGCATTTTTATATGCAATTAATAAATCATAAAGATTATAACGTGGTTCCAACTCGCTCTAAAATTAAATATAATTTTGTTTATTAAAAATATTTTACTTCATAAAAAGAATCAATAAAATCGTCAATAATCTCCAATTGATCATTATAATAAAATTCTAATAATTGCTGTTCACTAAGTAATTCAGCTTCACCCATTTCAGTTGATAAAGGTAAAGCACCAATCTCTTTCAAAGATGGATATTCTGATATATTAAATTTAAAAAAATTAAAAAATATAAGTCATACCAATTTGTGAGACTTCAATAGAATGCAGATTGATTGAAAAATCATTAATATCAGAAATTAAAGGATACTTTGGTAAAGAAATATTTTGCTCACAAATGACTGGCGTAGTCTCCTGTTGGAATTCGTTTAAACAAGATTCTTCCTGATAATTTGTAAATAAACAAAAAATTAAAACTAAAAATGCCTGAAATTGTTTCGAAGTTGAAGGCATTGCAGATTCCCTTTCATCATTTTCTAAGGGCTGCGTGATGGTCGAACTTTCTGCTGAATCTCTTAATTCTAAATTCATTTCGGGTTGATGTGAAAGCAATTCAGGCACTTCGGAAATATTTTCATCGATTGAACATTTACTAGAGGACTCTGAAATCCTTTAATTTATTGCTAAACCGAATATATTAAAATGCACCTGCAATGTCCTGCGGATTATCAACAGAAGATAAAAGTTCATCAAGTGTTGGAACTTCGGGAATTTGGCCACTAGGCTCTTCAATATTGTTTTCGCGTGATTTAGTTTTAGGCTTTCTAATCTTAGACGCTTCCATATTACTATAAATGACAACTTTTTACTATTCTAAAATTAAAATTATGCATTACTAAAATAAATAAACGTAAAAACGTTAGTTGTTACATATGACTAATTGTAAGAAATTAAAAGCAAATTCATTCTCCAAAAAGCGATAACAAAATGAAAACAATTAATAATGAAATTCAAAAAAATTACTTAAGATAGAATAAAAGGAAGCTGAGAGTAAATAACGAATTAAACAATTTTAAATAAATTGACATGGAGAATATTTTTAAAAATAGGCAGCAATTACACTCTGTCCCAAAAATATACATCCACCTATATTTTGTGTCATAAGTCAGTAAGTTGTCAACGGATTTGAATGAAAATTTAAAATATAATGCAAAAAGGCATTTTGAAACTATATTTAAAATTTTAAAAAATTCTAATAATGCAATCAAAATTTGCAACTATTTTTCTGTAAAATAGGTGTCCCATAAATATACATCCACCTTCCAAAAAAGTTATTTCCAACGATAGGAAAAATCTACAAAAATTCCAATAAGCTTATATATTGATATCGTAAAAAATAAAAGAAAGTAGGTCCATATCTTTACCCTAAGCCGAGATCCTGAGACCTCGAAAATCAACGTGAAACAGGGTTTTTCAAATTAAAAAAATATTTTCGACCCCGTATGGGTTACTGTAAATTTTGATTTTGGGCTCATTCGAAAGCCCTTGAAATTTGCTACAAGTCAGCAACAATCTTATTTTCCAGAAAAAATTTTAAAGAGAGAAGCAGGCATTTAAACTTTTTATGAAGAAAAAAGCGCCTAAATGCCCCATAAAATCCCCTTAAGTTCGCTTCTGAAGTTTAAATGCCTGCTTCTCTCTTTAAAATTTTTTCTAGAAAATAAGCTTCACCTATCTTATAGCAAATTTCAAGGGCTTTCGAATGAGCCCAAAATCAAAATTGACAGTAATCCAAAGGGGCCGAAGATATATTTTAAAATTGAAAAACCCCATATTACGTTGATTTTTGTGGTCTCAGAATCTCGGCTTCGGGTAAAGATACGGAACTACTTTCTTTTTATTTTTTTATGATATCAATATTTAAGTTTACTAAAATTTTCGTAGATTTTTCCTGTTGTTGGAAATAATTTTTTTTGAAAGTGGATGTATATTTATGGGACACCTATTTTACAAATAAATAGTTTTAAGTATTGAGTGCATAATTAGAATTTTTTCAAATTTTAAATATAGTTTTAAAATGTCTTTCTGCATTATGTATTAAATTTTCATTCAAATCCGTTGACAACTTACTGACTTATTTCACAAAATATAGGTGGATGTATATTTTTGGGACAGAGTGTATTTATTTTGTGTCAATTCTATTTAAATATTCGTTTTTATTCAGCTCCTAATCCAGCAGCTCCAGCAGTCTCTGCACCACCAGCAGAACCATCCTTCTTCTTTGTTCCGCTTACAATATCATCTATACGAAGTAACATAATTGCCTAAAATTTCAATCAAAGTATGATAAAATAATCAAAAGTATTTACAGTTTCAATGCTTGTCTTCAACGCTTGAAGTCGAACAACATAAGGATCCCAAATTCCGAGTTGATTCATATCTGCCAAATCACCAGTTTGACCATTAATTCCCCATGTCCAATTCTTCTCACGATCCTGGGCATGCTTTGCGCGTAATGCTGTAAGTTGACGAATAACAGAACCTCCACAATTTTGCACCAATGTTCTCGGAATTATTTCTAAGGCATTGGCAATTGCTTTGTAAGGGCCATTGTGAATTCCTTGAATTGATTTACTTTTCTCGGTCAAAGCCTAAAATAAAAAATTTGTTAAAATATTTTTTAAATCTTCTTAGTCTAACAGTTGAAAGTGCCATCTCTAAAGCACCAGCTCCAGGAACAATTCGTGGTTTTAACATTACATTTCGAACACAACTGACAGCATCCTGTATATTACGATCGACCTCATTGATGATATCCTTGCTCGGACCCCGCAAAACAATAGTAACAGCAGTAGTCTTTTCCGAGGTAACCCATGTAAAATACTCATCACCGATTTTGGTTATTTCAAATAAATCAGCTTGTGTGCCAATATCAGATTCTTGCAAGTCAATAGTGTCATTAACAATTCGAGCACCAGTCACACTGTTATTGAGAATTAAATTTTGGGTATATAAATAAAATGTCAAATTCACCGAGCCAGTCGATTGTTGTCTGTCTTCTTCAAGCGACGTAAAGCAGTTATTCCAGCGCGGACAAGATAATGTTGTGCAAGATCAGAAATACCTTTTTCAGTAAAAACTAAATCAGGCTTCAATTTTATAATATCTTCACATTGACGACGTATTGCCTCTTCCTCCTTAAAGTTTATTTTGGAGAAGTTATGTGATTAAGAAATTATGCAAAAATTAAACCTGTTCAAGTACAAGGCTAAAATCATTTTCTCGCATAATTTCAAGCGCAGTCTGACTTTCACCCTTTTTATATTCCAAAGGACAATCAAGAAGTATAATACGTGGTTTTTCAATACGACGACTCATTTTTGGATGAACAATATCCTAAAATGAAAATTTAAGAATAATTCAAAATCAATTTAAAAAATACTTTATTCAAAACAACTCCTTTAACTATTTGACTATCTTCAATTGAACCACCAGGAATTTTTTCAATACGACAATAACGTTTGATATCAATTTCACTCGATCCGTTGCTTGTGATGGTTATCGAACGAACAGCTTGGAGAGCAATATTAACAGATAAATCCAAATATTTTGCAAGCATTTTAGTGCCCAAAGAAGATTTTATTACAACAATTAATTCATTTTCGTTGTTCAAATCAACAGCCTTGCTAAATTTTTAAAATTCTAAATTAATTAGATAATCAAAATTGCCTGAATTTATCCTCAATCCATTGAGTCATGTCATCTAAAGCCATACGATAAGCCTGGAATAAGAGGCATAAAATTTAAGTATTTTAATAAATAAAAGCAATTTCCTCGCTTTATGTAAGGCAAGGAAAAATTTTCCACAAATAAGCAAGTTCATTTACCTGAATAATCATAGTTGGATGAATGCCTTGCTCAAGAAATTGCTGTGCATGAGCCAAAAATTCTCCAGCCAAAATTATAACAGAAGTTGTTCCATCCCCAGTTGCTTCATCTTGAGTTCTTGCAATTTCTATCATCGTTTTAGCTGCTGGATGTTTAACCGTGATTTCGCGTAAAATTGCATTTCCATCATTTGTAAGGACAATTCCACCCATTGGATCCATTAACATTTTTAGCATAGCTTTAGGTCCAAGACTTGTACGAATTACATCGGCAACCATCTTTAAAACAAAGAAAATAGTATTATTCTAATATAAATTATGAGGATACTTACCTTTGCAGCATTAATATTTTGTGATTGAACTTTTGATCCTTGTTCTCTTTCAGCAGATTTACTCAAAACCAATAAAGGAGTACCCCCAACGCGAAGCATTTTTGTATTTAATTTCTAAATAAAATTTAAAAAAGCTTATTTTGAAATTATAAAGTAAAATAATTTTTGATTAAACAAAAAAAACAACAAAAATTAAAATAATTATATATAACTTTATCAAAAAATTAAACAAGTGAAAAAAACAGTAGATATTCAAAATCAGAAACCACTTCTAAAAAATCTTGTTTGATCGTTTTGATGTCTAGGATAATTCGATTGTTGTGGCGGTGGGAAACGATTACCAGGATTCTGAAAAAAATAATGGAATTAAAAAAATCTTTAAAGATATGTACATTCATTCTCGGAGCTGATTGTTGGGCAAAATATAGTTGTTGTTGCTGTTGTTGAGAAAACAGATTTGGAGGTTTATTAGCATTTTGTAAAGATTGTGGAGGTGCTTGAGCATTATATGAATGTTGATTGGAGGGTCTATTTGGCTTTCTTCCACTGCTTGAAAAATTACTCGAACCAGACTTAAAATACAAAATTAAAAGAAAAATAAATTTATAAAACCTGCTGATTGTGTTGAAAGAATTGATGTTGTGATTTTTGATGATGCTGATATGAAACAGGATTTGATGAATGTTGAAGCGAATCAGTATTAATTTCATTGGATTCAGGCGGGACAAGACGTTTTCTTTTTGCTTGATTACCAAATCCGCTTTGAGCAAAACCACTAGTGGATGCCTTAAAATAAATTCATTAAATAAAAGACTTAAAAATAAAAATTTCCAATTCTTTACTTGCTGTGCCTGCTGTGAAAACGATTGTGAAGAAGATTGTTGTTGTGAAAATGAAGAAATAGTTTTTGAAAGTGGTTGATGCTGGCGTTGCTGTGAAGATTGCATTCGAACTACCGGAGCTTGTCCAGCAACAGCATTATTTCCTTTTATTCTTTGTGTTCCTCCAGAGCCGGAAAATTGTTGATGGTGTTGCCCAAAATTTGAATGCTGAGACTTTGGTTGTTGTTGAAAGGCATTTAATGGTTTTCTTGGTTGCTGATGCATTGGCTGGGAGCCTTGACTGCTGCCACTGCTATTATGAGTAGGAGCAGCAGGAGCTATAGGTCTTTTCCTGTTTGCATGAGCACCACATCCAGAAGTATATTCGAACAAATTCGTCTAAAAACAAATGCAAAAATAAATTCAAAATATTAAACCAAACCCCTTTAAGCTTGTCAACAAGGCCTTTAATATTTTCAGCAGAAAGTGGAGCTTCCCAAAAGAAATTATGGTCGAGTGCTTCTTCAGCTGTCGGTCGTCGTTCTGGAGGAAGAGATAACATTTGATCAATAAGAGAAATCGCTTGCTCGTTGTGCTATAAAAATTCAGATAATTTTGCAAAATGGAAAAATAAATAAACCTCAAGAAACATTAACAATTTCTCTCTAACTCGACGTGGATAGTTTTGTGGCAGGGCGTTATTCAAAGCAGAATGCATTTCAGAACCACTTGCTTTTAATTTTGAATATAAAGGTAAAGCTTCACATCCTTCCCATGTCTGACAATTTATTGATCCACACAATTTAGCAATCCTAATTAATTGTTCTTGTTCAGTATTCCCCTTAAAATGAACATTATAAAAAGTTTAAAGACTGAAAAAAACCTGTAAAATTGGAGACCTAGTCCAAAGTTCAGAAATTATACATCCAGCTCCCCAAATATCAATTGAAGGTCCATAACTACTAGAACCAAGTAACAATTCAGGCGGTCTATACCAAAGTGTGACGACGCGATTTGTATATCGGTAATCTTGTTGTTCTTAAAGAGATGAGAATAGATTATATTTCTACTTATAAATATGAAGTTTTCTAATGATTATAGACTTTTTAAATTAAGAGAAAAATGAAAAACGTACTAATCATCAATCGAGCTAACCCAAAATCTGCTAGTTTAAGAACTCCTCCTGCAGTTATTAATACATTTGCTGATTTCATATCTCTATGTAAAATATTGCTTTTGTGAATTTTGTTCAAGCCTTCGAGAATGTGCTTAGCCATTGTTTTAATTTCAACTAAACTGAATTTTATTTTTTGATTACTAAGTAGTCCAGCTAAATCATGTTCACAAAAAGTAAAAACCAAATAAAATGAAAAACGTTCTCTTGCATTCTTTTCTGAATTAAAACAAAAACTATTAAAATTAAAGAAGTAATTCTTACGCTTGCAAGTGCAGACATCGATTAATTCAGTTATATTCGGATGTCGAAGAAGCTTAAGCATTTTTATTTCACGTAATGCAGTAATTGGAAACTGAAAAACATTTCATAACATTTTTTGGTTTCTTTTGCTACTTACCCCTTCCTTTTCATTTTCCATTAAAATTTTTTTCAGAGCAACAAATTGTCCAGTTCTTTTACATCTTGCCTTGAAAACTTCCCTTAAATTGGTAAAAATATGTGGGTTAAACCATTAACCCAAGTACCCGAACGTTCCTTGCCCAATTTTCAATAATTGTTCATAAAATAATTGCACATCATTAACATAGGGGTAATTAAAATTTTCAATGTAATTCACTAATTTTGTGGAAATTTTGCACTCTTCCAACAATTGCTAAAACGGGCTATCATTAGATTTATAAATAAATATTTAAACCTGAACTTTAGCATCATATCCAGCTGGATTTACCATTATAGCATCTAATTTTTAAATCTTTAAAGATCATAAAACTACTGATAAAGAACTCATATATAAAATCTTTAACACAAATCGACTTAAGAAACAAAACCGAGAAAAACGAGACGCCTTGTTCTCCCAGACTTCCGCTTGCAAACGGAGTCTGGGAGAAAAATAAAATCAAGCTTTATTTCGGAGGAGGCGACTATGATTTATAAGCAAAAAAATATCAATCTCTGCTACAAAAGTGCGCGACAAAGTGACACGAACTTTTTGAGTCTGATAAATCGGCTAATTCAAAACGATTTTAGATCGGTAGGGGACCATTGTGTACCGCCGTTTGTGTACCGCCGTTTGTGTACGGCCGGTTGTGTACCGCCAGTTGTGTACTTGGCCGTTTGTGTACCTGGCCAGTTGTGTACCGCATTATATAGGAATATAATAAGGGAATATAGATTATATTCCCCAACTTAGAATCTTATTAGAAAATTCGAAATGCAAATTCGACCAAAATTGCCATGATTTAACAAATTTGGACAAAGTTACGATTCAAAAATAAACCAGTAAACCTATGGGCGTCGGCGAGACGCTTGTGCAAAAGCCCGCGCTTAGCGCGGGCTTTTGCAGCACGCGTCTCGCGGGAGTCAACGGTCGCTGGGTTCCGTACCAGTAACATAAACCTATTCCTTTTATCGATTTTTTGAGTTGAAATGCCGACCTATTCTTCGTAGCAACACAAAAAGTTCTTTAAGTGAAGATACGGCCTAAAATCCCCTGATAAAGTAACCTTGGGTCTAATAAGATTCTGAATTTGGTGATATAGTCTATATTCCCTTACTATCTTACCAGCAATACTTTCGTTCTGGGATATATAAAGACAAAAATTCTTAAAAATGCGGGTACACAAACGTCCCCATTTGGGTAGGTACACAACCGGCCGTACACAACCGGCCAGGTACACAAACGGCAAAGTACACAACCGGCGGTACACAACTGGCCGTACACAAACGGCGGTACACAAACGGCCGTACTCAATGATCGCGTTCCGATTTTAGATCGACTTTTTGTTTAGTTTATTGTGTTGAAAAATTTCTTTCATTAAAAACTTTTAAAATCATCGGTATTTATTAGGCTAAATATTTATACAATATACACTCTGTCCCAAAAATATACATCCACCTATATTTTGTGAAATAAGTCAGTAAGTTGTCAACGGATTTGAATGAAAATTTAATACATAATGCAGAAAGACATTTTAAAACTATATTTAAAATTTGAAAAAATTCTAATTATGCACTCAATACTTAAAACTATTTATTTGTAAAATAGGTGTCCCATAAATATACATCCACTTTCAAAAAAAATTATTTCCAACAACAGGAAAAATCTACGAAAATTTTAGTAAACTTAAATATTGATATCATAAAAAAATAAAAAGAAAGTAGTTCCGTATCTTTACCCGAAGCCGAGATTCTGAGACCACAAAAATCAACGTAATATGGGGTTTTTCAATTTTAAAATATATCTTCGGCCCCTTTGGATTACTGTCAATTTTGATTTTGGGCTCATTCGAAAGCCCTTGAAATTTGCTATAAGATAGGTGAAGCTTATTTTCTAGAAAAAATTTTAAAGAGAGAAGCAGGCATTTAAACTTCAGAAGCGAACTTAAGGGGATTTTATGGGGCATTTAGGCGCTTTTTTCTTCATAAAAAGTTTAAATGCCTGCTTCTCTCTTTAAAATTTTTTCTGGAAAATAAGATTGTTGCTGACTTGTAGCAAATTTCAAGGGCTTTCGAATGAGCCCAAAATCAAAATTTACAGTAACCCATACGGGGTCGAAAATATTTTTTTAATTTGAAAAACCCTGTTTCACGTTGATTTTCGAGGTCTCAGGATCTCGGCTTAGGGTAAAGATATGGACCTACTTTCTTTTATTTTTTACGATATCAATATATAAGCTTATTGGAATTTTTGTAGATTTTTCCTATCGTTGGAAATAACTTTTTTGGAAGGTGGATGTATATTTATGGGACACCTATTTTACAGAAAAATAGTTGCAAATTTTGATTGCATTATTAGAATTTTTTAAAATTTTAAATATAGTTTCAAAATGCCTTTTTGCATTATATTTTAAATTTTCATTCAAATCCGTTGACAACTTACTGACTTATGACACAAAATATAGGTGGATGTATATTTTTGGGACAGAGTGTATAGATATATCCAAATACAATTACTAATGAAGGACTAATGTAAATGATTAGAAATGTATTGCGGTTTTAGTTTTTCTTTTCTACAATTTTAAACATAGAAGCCATATACGAGCTAGATCTATTCATAGTATATTTTAACATAAAATACAAGTTTAGTTAGTAAGCAATATTTTGCCAATAGTGAATTGCTCCTGTAGCTGTATAAGCAGCAATATTTCCATCGAGTACATCTATTGTGAGATTCTCGTTTAATTTTAATTTAGCCATTTGTTGAGGTTTAATTCCTTGAGAAAATACTCGTAAAGTGTTGTCACTGGAATTTTTCAATAATAAAACAAATAAAATATTTATCTTGCCTGCAAGCACAAAATGTTCCTCCTCGAGTTACACGAATGCTTTGGTCTCCATTAAGTTCTCTCCCATCGTCATCGTTGGTAATAGTAAATTCCTGTTAATATATAATGATCAAACTACACAGAAGCTTTAAACAAACATTTTCAAGTTGTAACGTTTCCGGGTCAAAGAAAAGAAAATGTCCATTTTTAAGACTCAAACAAAGTTGTTTGTCCTCGTAATCAACATGAGAAATCGGCTCATTAGACTGATAAGTACCAACCAACTAAAAAAGAAAAAAAACAAATTAAAAAAATTATCTCGTAATTTACACTTTCGAATCTCCTTTTATCTACAGCCGCGAGTTGCTTGTCATCCCCAATTGAAAATATTTGATTGCAATCGTCCTGAAAAGCCGATTCTTTTAAAAAAACTCGTCTAAAATAACCATAGTCGTAAGTTCAAAGACTGGCCTTTGGCCATGACAGTTATTTGAAGCTAACGGAGATGTACATGGTGTTCGAGTATCATAGAGTAATGTCCCACTTCGAAAAGTTGATACATAAAGTATATTTTCATTTTCTGAAACGCAAGAAAGTGCTGCCGTGTCAACGGATATTTTTTGAGTTGGCTATAATAAATTTTATGAAAATTCTCAAATTTTAGTAAAAAATATTCGAATATTCTGAAATAAACCTTAATAAACTTACGAGAATAGATGCTTCTGCAATCTGCCATTTTTTAACTATCGAATCCCATCCGGCTGAGAAAAATGAGTTGACATTATATTTTGAACAGGATATTGACCAAATCCAACCATCGTGTGCTTTCTCAGCAGTCCAATTATTCTAAATAAAAATATACAAATAAAGATATTCATTATATACATAAATAGTTGATTCCAAATCCCAAAGTATAATTTGTCGATCACGAGCTCCAGTCAGGCAAAAATATTTTCCATTTATGGTAAAGAGGCGAATAGCATGAATTATCCCATAATGAGCATCAACTGTTGATACTGAGTGAGCAAAATTTTTAAGACTATCAGACCAACGAATCGCAGTCTGCTCTGTGGCAATACATCGATAGATAGGCGACAACTGATAACAAAAAAATTAAAAAATAAATAAAAATTACTAACACAGGATCCAGGACGATCATTATCAGTTGCTGTGAGAGAACCTGTCAATCTTTTAGGAAGAACAAGACTATGTAGATAATTGGCACGTTTCAGCCAGTATGATTGCTCTCGAATTAGTAGGTTCAATCTTCGATTAACTAAAATAATATAAAAATAAATAAGTGAACGTATGACTGAATGAATATAAATGTAAATAAATAAATCTAGGTTACCTGCTCTGAAGTTACACCAAAGATCATTGGGAGGCAAATAATCAAAAATACGAAGGAGAAGCTCGAGTGGCAATTCTTCCAAGTACATAATCTACAAACAATCTCTAATTCCTTTAATTATGAAAGAAATAAAAATGTGAAAATTATTTCGTATAATATCGTTTTATTAATATAAAAAATAAAATTTTAATCAAAAAATTTATTCAAATAAATTAATTAGAAGAAGCATAGGAATTCATTTTAGAATATGGAATTGGATCAAAAGGGGGGAGCCATTTGAGCAAATCGGCACGAATAGAACGTCGACGTAAATAATCAGGGCTCGCGTTTAAAGCTTTTTCCTTTAAAAAATCAAATAGAAAACAAAAAATATTTTAATTACCGTATCAATGTAGAAACAATCATGCCTTGACACCAACATATCATTAACAATAAGAGTCGATATAATATCAGAACTGTGAATGGCAGTCTCGATACTCAAGTCTGCAAAAAAATTTTTGTTTTAAATCAGCAATAGTAATTCAACCTTTAATCATTATAGTCTGAGAATTATTACGCTGCCTCAAAGCAGAAAATAAAACTGATCGCCAATAGCTACGATAAGCTAGAAGACCCATATCAGATAAGGGATGTTCTGGAGAACCAATTTTGTGTTCGAGTTTTGAAAATTGATAGCCTTAAAATAGAAAATAAATAAAACAAAAAAAATTTCCCACTGAGATCAATTAGCAATTTTCCATATCCTTTCCCTTGAGCATGAGGTAATGTTAGAAGACAACTGAGATTGTTATTTTTACTTGGATTCTTTTCCTTAAAAATATTTAAAATGTGTCAAATTATGAAAAAAAACTTTTGAAAAATATCCAACAGTCACACAACCTCTCGTTGAAATTTCAGTAAGAATGTAGAAAGTAAATGTATCCACTTCGTGGTAAAGTGTTTTAGAAGACATAAACAATTTGGCCATTAAACAAAGATTTCGACAATACGTCTGAAAATTGAACAAAAAATAATTTTGAGAGAAAATTACCATTTCAAAGCATCCTTCTACCTCCCAAATGCAAATTCCCTCGTCTACGTCCCTGTATATTTCGTTGCCTGGAGGAAAGCAACACGGACAGAATTTCTAAAATTAAAAATAAATTTTGGTTACCTAATTTTGTTTCTGACCACATGAGTTTTAAACAGTTGCAATGACAAAAAATGAGTAAAACAAAATTCACACACATAAATTATAGACGCAGAATTGAGTGGTTCAGCATATGAGCCCTCATAAAGTGGTTTAAATCGGACAAATTGACCAAATTGAAGCCATTGATTCAGTATATTTCGCTTACTCTGGCCCTCCGGTTTAATGCCCATCTCGGTGAGAACTCGTTTTTGCAAAGCACTAGAAAAAATATTTTTTGAAATAAAAAGCAGAGAAAACCTGAAAATTTCCGAAGATTGGCTTGACCTAGCACCGATTCGTTTTGTTTTGCCAGGAGTCTTTTGAAATTTTATTAGATTCTTTGATTCTGGGGTCTGCCATTGACTTAAATATTTAGATAATTCAAACTTAAATATTTTTAATTAATTTAGAAAAAAAATTATTGAAATTGGAAATTATTATCGTTTTGATATAGTGAGACTAAATTAGACAAACTTTGAATTCTCAATTAAAATTTGTTGATGTTCAGAGCTTTGTTGATTGTCTTGTTTGGATGAAGTAGAATTATTCAAAATAGATATACTAGTATCTGTTGATGAAGATAGTATAATCTTTTTTCTCAAAACAATTTGATTCAAATCAAGTTCCGGAGATCCTGAAGAGTTTGATAAACTTGAAAGACTAATTCTAAAAATTGAAAAAATATTAAAAATAATCTTTTCCAGCCCCTCAGAAAATAAGTTTAGGGAACAAATTTTAGTTTCAACACAAATGCATTGAGAGAGCTGAGTGTATCGTCATTGAGGCTTACACGTAAATTAAACTTTAACCCACTTAACCACAAATAAATATGTGGAATCCTACAAACCTATACTAAAAACAGAAAAGCAAAAACGATAACAAAACAAAAAATAAGCAACCAACCTTAATTTGCGATTAGACGTTGGTAAAGCATTTGGGCTAACAGTTTCGCCACGAAATAGTTTTTTGTTATTATGCGGCACCTCTTTCTTGATAATTTTTTTCTTTTCAAGACTTAAAGAGTTAAGTTGCATAAGCACACTCTAAAAAATATAGAAAATTTAAGAGATAACCTTTAAATTTAAACGTAAAATTGTGTAGTCAATAAATTTGCATGGAGAGGGTGGGGTTATCTTCTTCCCTCTTTATAAAATAAAAACCTTCGTTGTCCGCATATCCTTCCTGCGTCGTGAACGAGTAACACGAATTGAACTTCGCAATGAAGGCATTAGAAATATATTATTATCTAAAAATTAAAAATTTAGCATTATAAATTTAAAAATAAATCCAAGATTATCCAAATCGGCCAAGGATTCTGCCGAAATTACCAGACACGAAAAAGACGCTCATTTGTCCGCGCTCAGATGGCTCTTTTAAGTTTTAATGCGGCTAGGAACCATTGAGTCCCGATATTTTCATCAATAACTTTGTGGGTAATTTTTGTTTTTTTTGAAGGCTTTTAATTACTTTTTTGAATGTCACAACCGGCGAAACGTGTTGCTGTTAGCTCTGTAAATTGGGCGAAATTGGCTGAGAGATTAGTTCCAGAACATAAGAAAGAATTGGATCGTTTGAAAATGCAGAACTCTTCATTTCATGCCGAGTTTGTTTTAATTTCACTTTATAATTTAACAAAGATTTCAGGGTTGTTCAGCGTGAACAAGATCTTCCAAAAGTTGATTGGGCCGAATTGAAAAAGCAAATGCCTGAACAGTCGGCTGCGCTTGATACTCTTAAAAAACAATGGGAATCGCTGAATATCTCTTATGGAACTATTCCAGAAAATTTTCAAAAGGAAATTGACAAATGGATTCAATATAATGTTTTATTTTTTTATTAAATTTTATTAAAATTTATTATTTTAAGCAAGCACGTTTACAATTTACCGAGCAGAAGATAAAGGACGGACTCGATCGTGTTAAGAAGGTTGAGGAGAAATGGGCCAAAGCGCCACCAGTTGAGCATATGTATGTAATTCTTTTTAAATATTTCTCTCTCAACTTTGAGTTTTCCACTTAACTTCCCTCAAATGCTTCCGTATAAATTTCTTATAATTCTTTAGGTATCTAAATTTCCACCACATCACTTTCTTTCCGCATGAATTTGGATATGCAGAGAAACATGGTTATGCTGATTGGCGTATCCATCACGATGATGGTGAATGGCGTTATTTCGATTTATTCTTTAAAGAACAAAATGCCGATGAGGTTTGTTTTTATTTAGAAAAATTATTTAAATTTATTAAATAGGAGTCTTACTATCGTCGCCGCTATCATGATTATAATGTCTATCCGGCTGCTGGTTTGTTTAAAAGAGGATTATTTCTAAAAAATAATATTTTTAGGTAATCCACTAACTGGTCTTGGAATTCCTGATGGATCTGGACAGCCAAAAGAGCCAAAGCATTGGCCTGTTCCGTTGACTGAATTGGGCCGTAATTATGTTAAGCAATTGAAGGAACGTAAGAGACAGGAGAAATTGGCGGGTACTGCTGTTCCTGTTCGTGTAGACGATCATTGAGAAGTTTATTAAAGATTTTATTTTGCCTACTCTTAAGTGGACATTTTATTGTTGTTTTAGGAAATTTTAAAATAAAAAAATTAATTTAGAAAGTAAATTTTCTTGGATTTTGTATTGTAAAAATAAATATAAAAATAGCAAAAAATATTTTTATAAATTTATTTGTAATATTACATTTATTATTTATAATTATTTTTGTTAATTTTAGTTAAATATTAATTTGTAAAGCGAAAAAATGACCGTTGTTAGCACTATTCCTTCAATTTTAAAACTTAGAATTTTGCTTCCAAGCAAGTGTGGACGGTTAGTTATTTTCCAGTTTTCTATTTTTTAAATTAAGTAAAGCTTCTGAAAAAATGTTTGGGGTTTTTTCTATTTTAAGGTGGAGCTGGAGCGAGGACTTAACAATTTTATAATCTTGTTTAGTTAGAAATTCTGTCTTTATTTTTAGTTCTCTCCGTTTGACTCACACAACAAAAACCCCGGTTCAACAATTTGGATTTGAGTATCTGAAACAACAAACAGCATTGGGTCGGCCAATTTCGCCACATTTGAATATTTATAAACCACAATTGACTTGGATAATTTCTGGCGGTCATCGAATTAGTGGTTGTATAATGTCTGGAAGTTGGTTTTTTTTAATTATTTTTAGAAGCTTTTTAAATTTATTTTAAGCTCTGTTGATTGGCGTTTTAGCTTTTTCTTTTGGTCCGTTCAGTTATAGTTCTTTTATTGAACGAATTCGTTCATGGAATCTTCCTTGGCCAATTACTGCAACTTTTAAATTTATCATTGCTTGGACAATTGTTTTCCACTCACTCAATGGAATTCGTTTTATGGTTTTTTTAATTCAAATAAATGACAAAAAAATAAATTTTAGGGATTTGATCTAGCAAAGGGAATGGAACTTCGACAAATTTATATGTCTGGTTATTTGGTGCTTGGGCTTAGTACTTTAATTACCCTTTTGATCGTTGCAAATTCGAAGCGAATTAGTGCAGAAGAAATGAAAGAGATGTATCTGTAGATTAAAAATCCCTTTGGGTCTGATATATAGAAATTAAAATTCTGTTTAAAAATATAAATGGTTCAATATTTGAATAAAATTTGAGCATAATTTAATAAAAACGTTTAGAACTCACTAAAGAAAGTGTGAACAATTTTTTGCAATAGTTTATCAGTGATTTTACATGAAATTAATATGCGAAAATAAAATATTATCCATATTTCCTTAAGTCAACAAGTTGAAAACTAACAATAAATATAGTAATAGTGTGTGGTACCTAATAAAAAATTAATGAGAAATTCCTATTCAATAAAATCAGTCATAGCGTTTTCCGCGAGGATAACGTTTAGGCAATTGAATGTTTGCAAGAGGATTCTTTTGCTCTTCAGGATATTCATGCGCCGTTTGATGAACAACTCCTATATCTGCTGGTAATGGCAATTCCCCAACATGTGCATGCAATTCACGTCTCAATTCTGGCCGCTCACGATGGCGTACTAATGGCAACAAATCAGGATCGACTTTCGGCGATAAAAGACGAAAAGCAGGAATCTTAAATAGAAAATTAGGAGAGCCGAACTTGTTTCAAACCTCCGAGTTCATACTATCGATAAAAAGACGCTGTGAACGCTCATCCATCCAACGCACATAGTCCTGGTCAAAACCATCTGGAATACCAACAAAAGGTCGCAAAAAATGTTGAACAACTCGATGGATAAACTGAATTAGAATTCGTTTAAAATACACAAAACATTGGAAAAACAAACGATATATTGCATTGGTGTCTCCACAGAAAAAGGGCGGAAAAACCGCAAATAATGAACCGACTGCTGGACAGTATACTGAAATAAAAAATAAATATACAAACAATGCGCGCATTTTACAAACTTTGTGCATAGGCCCGCGAAGAAGTTGACATATGGTAAGCTCGATTGCAACAAGGCATGCCGCTCGGCTAATTCCCAAATGGTCGTGAATAACAGTAGGAGTTGTACAAGTCCTAGAAAGTCGAAGTAGACGTAGAGGCGCATCCAAATCCTGTGAGTTATTTAAGTCGCCTTGCCAGTGCTCGAGACGAAGCTGTCCAAAAGTTGAAGTAATTTAAATAGAGCTTTTATTCTTACCTCCTTGTCATTTGGGCCAACAATCCTCAGCTTTGTAACATTGAAGAAAGGGTCTCGCGATCCCGATGGCTCAAAGCCCTCGTTCCAAATAACTAACCCATGGAACTGAAACGGATTCGAAGAAACACTAAATAAAAAATATAAGCCATTTAATTCAAGTATACTTACGTCTCAGGCCAATATTTAGCGCAACGACGAGTGTCGCTCCGACTAATAAGCATAAAAATGAAGCAAACACGCTCCTGCCAAATCATCTATAAAATGAAAGTTTATAAATTATATATTAATTTTTATTACCCGCCAAAAATCCTTAATGGTATTGTCCATAGGTGCCTGAGTAATAATAAAATCATTGAAAAGTAGTGGCGAGTTGACACAATTAGCATGAATAAAAGAATCTAACGACGGCTCTTCGGGGTAACTAAGAATAACACGTGATTGATCTTTGCATTTAATGCCTAAAAGTTACAGAATTAGTAGTAACCTACTTAAAGAAAAAAACTTTGGTTCCTGCACTTTTCAACAAACTTGTCTGAATGCTCATGGGTGAACTGGATGTGATTAACTTGATTGTCAACAATCTCAAAGCGACGCTCCATGCCACCCACGATAGTGTACATAAACACTTGTTTACGCGCTGGCCCAAAGATACGTTTTCCCAAATAAATATTGTTGTAATCTTAAGATAGTAAAACTAGACGTAAAAAATGTAAAGTCCAATTCTTTAAACTGTTAAAGAAAATTAGACAAGAGTTTATTTCTCAGCATTAACACACTACGCTAGAAAGCGAATTAGATTCTGGGAGTCACTAAACGTGTAAAATCAAAATTTACATCTCCCATGCATCCGTATGCGGTCCTTATCTCCCTTCACCCTTTTGTTGTACATTTGAAAACGCCAAATAACTCCTCGTCCATCAAAATCATCTTTAAAAAAGTCCGCAAGACGATGATTACCAAAAAGCTCTTTATAAAAATTAGATTTCTATAAATCGTATATTGAATGTTAAATACCTAATGCACATGAACCAACAAGCCAATGACTAAGCTCGCTTTGATTTGTTAATTGTTCTCGTAGTCCAGGAACTGTTGCAAAATACTTTTCTTGTTTTGTTCGTAAAAAACGCCGTTTGTTTAGATTTTTGCTGTTAGTGAAGAGAACGTTTGACAGCATAGCTAAATTTAGAAAAAAATCCCTACAACATAAAGAAAAAATTTGAACAGGACAAAAATCTATGGTTCTGTCTGTAGGTATTTTGGTTGTAGGTCTTCTGTCCGGAGGTATTTTGTCTGCAGCTCTAAAGTGGAAATTTTTTGCGGAAAATTCTTTTTTGATACTATTTTTTTAATTTCTTACATTTGACCCTTTACATTTGGTCAAATTCTTACATTTGACCCTGCGGTACCCTCCGCGCTGCATTCAACACCGACATAACTTCCCCTAGTTTTAGGGCGCAACCCTTATTCTTAATACACATAAATTTATTTCTATTATTCTAGAAATCAAGTTTATTCTAAATTTTAAAAATGGCTACGATGACTGACGATGACATTAAAGAGATTAAATCCCAGCTTAATAATATGTTGAAGAATCAAACTGTTATGATGGCCCATCTTCTTTTTTTGACCAACCAGGTTTATTTTCTATTTACATTTTAAAAGAAAATTTTTTTAGATTCCTTCTCCTTCTTCAACATCTTCTAATTTGGCAAAGTTTTCACCGACTGTTCAACAATATCTTGCATGTATGTTGAAATTTGTTTTTAATTATTGGGGTGCGAATAATGGGGGTGAACCTGTTGTCATATAAAAGAGTTTATGCCTATTTAGCTTTGAAATGTCTGTAAATTTAACAGTTCTGCTTGTTAATGAACTAGTGTTTCTCATAAAAGTTTACTTCAAACAACTTCTCCCCAAATTATTTAAATTTTTCTTAATTTATTCTTTTCTAGTACAAAAACAGAATCAATCTAGCCAAAAAATTATGAAACCATCAACTTCTACATCTTTTGCTACACTCACACCTGTGCCAATCAAACGTAAAGCAGAATTACCGCTTGAGGAAATTGGAAATACTGGAGGATTGAAACATCGTCGTGGACGTCCGCGCAAACCTGAAGATGGAGGACATTGAATATTTTTTTTGGAAGAATTTTTTTGGTTTAACTTTTAATTTAATTATTTTGTCCAGGCTTGGACACTTTTTTCTCTTTTTTTAGCCGTGATAAGTCTTCAGAGCTTATGTGTTAAGGCCACTCTTTCACATGAAAAAGCAAAACTGACCGGCGGTCAGCTGCAGACAGTCTTTTCCAGAACTGCACATTTTCTGCAGCTTTTTTTATACAAGAGAGTGCCGTCATCGCAGAAGCTCCGAAGAGATTTATCACGGATAAAAAGAGAAAAAGTGCCCAAGCCTAATTTTGTCTTTTATTTAAAATATTTGTCTCTCTTGCCTTCTCTTGTCATTGTTTAAAATGTTTTTCCTTAAACCTTATATAATTTGTGGTTAATTTTTCCCGATTTTGCCTTTTTTTGGTTGATTCATTAAGATTGTTTTTCCAGAAAATTTAAAAAATATTGTTTTATTTTGTCTAATAAAATCTATTTAATTTTTTAAAATTTTTATGAGCGATAAGAAAGACGTCAAGTTTTGGACTAATTTTTTGAAATTTTGTCAAAAAAATTTTATTGAAAATTATTAATTTGGAGTTGTGAGGGAGGAGATTAGATTATTTAATTTTTCTTCAATTTTGTTGTATAGTATGTAAGGCATATTTTGACAAATGGTGCATATTTTATGCTTTTTCGTAGTAAATATGTACATATGCAATTTTTTGTGGATATTTTGTGAGGCTATAATTATAATGAATTGATATGTAAATACTATAATGAATTGCTCTTTCTTTACAACTTTTCTTTTTTCAAATTTAGTTGGGCTCGTTTCTATGGTAATTTAAGGAAATTTAAAAACAAATTAGAGCAAAATAAATTTATTATTTGAAAAATATTTTATTTAAAATCATTTTTAAAAAATTAATTTAATTTTAATTTAAACTACTAAAAATGAATAATAAACAATTGGATAATTTTAATTTTAACAAAAATTTTCGTGTAAATTTTTAAAAAATTAATTTAATTAAGTATAATTTATATTAGGTAAATAATTATAAATCAAAACAACAAAAAGCACAATTATTACAAATGTCTAATAATTTAAATTGGCAAAGAAGAGCTGTAAATAAAGATTAAATTTTGTTTAAATTAATTATAAATTTAAGCGTTCTGTTGCCCCAAAAAATAAAAAATTCCAACAAAAACGTGAATTTAGTAAACAAAAAGAAGGAAATTTAAATGAAAATTATTCAACAGATTTTGAAAATAAATTTGAGGAAAAAGAAGAGGGAAGAGAATTACAATTAAATAATTTTGTGGATGAGGTCTGTAAATTTAAAAAAAAAGAATAATTTTGAAAATTAAAAAAAACCCTTTTATTTTATTAATTGTTTTTGTTAGCATTATTAGTAAGGGTTTCACCGTAAATTCCCCGGAACCAGGAAAAAGTTCCGGGATCTGGAACTCAAATTGGATCTGGTTCCGATGAAACCCTAATTATTTTGTAATTATTAAGTTTTCCAATAAGTATGTTACAAGAAAATTTTTAAAAAAAGAAAAAGGGAGGGGGGGGGGGGAGTCGAGAGAGGAATTTTTCGAATGTCGGAACATCTCTCTAATTTTCCTCATAATTATCCTCTCTCCTCCACTTTTTACTTAAATAATTACAAAATTGTTTAAGATATCTAAAATTAAATTATTATTGACAAATTTGGAATATTCTACACAATTTTGGAATATTGAAAGAGAAGAAATAAATAAAAGAAATAATTTATTTAATTTACAACAACAACAAACGTCTTCAATTAATTCAAAACCTCCTTTTAATAAGTTTAAATAAATTAATTTTTAAAAAATATTTATTTTTTAAAAGTAATTTTCTTTTAAATTCTGATTTACCAATAATTGAAGAACAATTAAATAATATTAAAAAAAGTTTAGAAGAATTTAGACAATTTAAAATTAATCAGCCAGCAAAAGAATATTTTCGGTTAATTTTTAAAAATATTTTTTAAATTAATTTTTTTTAAGTCAAAATGGAAGAAACGAAACAAATTTAATAAAAGAAAAGGTTTTCTTTTAATTTTGAAAAAGATTACAAGCCGGAGGAGCTCGATAATTATAAAACAAAAATTAGAGACATCTATATAATTTTCGACCCTATCTGAATAAGAGGGCGCTTTGATTTTTTTCAACATTTTTTTCCTACCTTAATATATAAATAATGGTCAGTCTTTTCTTCCTCGTTCGATTCCACTCTTTTTACCTGTGGCATATTCAAATGAGAGGACAGACAAAACATGGACGGATTCAAAGAGGAAGAAAAGACTGACCACGGACGAACTCTGACAGACAAAACACGGACGGACAGACAAAACACAGACGGACAGACAAAACTCGGACGAACTCGGACAGACAAACACGGACGGACACAGACAGATAAAACACGGACGGACTCGGACAGAAAACACTCGTGTTATGTCTGTCCGTGTGTGTGCTGCTTTGTCTGTCCTCTCATTTGAATATGCCACAGGTAAAACGAGTGGAATTGAACGAGGAAGAAAAGACTGACCATTATTTATATATTAAGGCAGGAAAAAAATGATGAAAAAAATCAAAGCGCCCTCTTATTCAGATAGGGCCTAATTTTCCCTTTATTTAAAACACCCCCCCCTCCCAAAAGGTTACTTTCAATAGAGGGAGAAGTCTCCCAGCTTTATTTTAATAATTATTTTTTATAGGAATTTATTTCTCCTTTACAAATTAAAAGTAGACTTTTAAATATGGAATTTTATATTGAAAAAAGGGTAAAATAATTTAAAAGAATTAATTTTAAATATTTTCTTTTAAAAAAAGATTCAAAATATATTAAATGAAAAAAGGAATAAAAAAGTTTTTGATAATTCTTCTACAAAAATAAATAATAATAATGAAGTATTTGAATTAATTACTACAAAAAATCAAAATAATTTTGATAATGAAATTGTTTTGGGGAGACAAGGAGAGGGAGAATATGTTGGAATTGAAAATAAATTGTTTGATTTTACAAAAAAATATTTTTTTTATTTAATTTAAAGTTTTTGAAAATATTGGGGGCAGACAAAAGAAATATTTTTTATAAAAATCGTTAAATAATTTTAATTAAAAATTTGTAAATTTTTTTGCTAAATATTTTAAGAATTTATTAAAACAAAAGAAAACATTTTCCAAAAATTTAATTATTCTTTTTAAGAACTCACCAACAACAACAACAAAATTTATTTAATGAAGAATTTCAAAGCAATTTAAATACCGTATTATCTCTAATACAAGCCCTGGGCCTCTATTTTTCAATACCCCTCATTGAGTGGGCTTCTAATAGAGCATGGGCTTCTATTAGGGCATGGGCGTTTATTTTTCAATATCAAAATTTTTTAGAAGATAAAAAATATAAGCAAATAAAATTATGTTTGGCAATATGAATTAAGAAAAGAATGTAAAAATTAAATATCAAAATCAATATAAATATCAATAAAACTCCGTTTTCTCAACTTGGTAATAAGGTTATACCTTCTGATCCCGGAAATCCCTCTTAATCCCCCGTAAATCCCTCTTAACCTCCTGAATAATCAGATTAAGCTCTTAACAATATCACAATCTAATCTTCCAATAGACTTTTCTTCTATACACATAATCTCCTTCTTTTACCGAAATACCGATACTGATACCGCAAAATCGTGTTTGAATAACACTAATATTGACCTATTTGGACTGAACCGAGGTATATGCAGGGATATGCAAGGATCTCATGGCCATTTTGTTTGTGGTACTTCTCTTAATATAACTAATACTCCATATTCCTAAATCGGCCACAAGTCAGACTTAATTCATCCAAATCACTCTATCGATCAAAATCACCAATAGACCAATTCATTGATATCATATTCTTTGATATCCAACTATATCCCACTCTAAATCATCCAATATCTACAATTCTAATCATAGTACCCTTCTTAAGCTTCTAAATCCTATCTAATTTCCCAATATTCTTTATAGTCCAATAAAATCCTACATAATTCATCCAAATCACTTATAATCACATCAAAATTCATCCTCAGTCATTGGAATTTCTTTATCAATACTTTTAATTGAATATAATAAAGGTAATAGAAAAAAAGGTAGCAAAAATCAGATGGGCTTCTATTAGGGCATGGGCTTCTATTGGGGCATGGGCGTTTATTTTTCAATACCCCTCACTGGGTGGGCTTCTATTAGGGCATGGGCTTCTATTGGAGATGGGCTTCTATTAGAGACAATACGGTATATTTAATTATAATAAATTACTTTTAGATCCAAATAATAATAAAATACAAAATAATGATTTAAAACAATTAAATAATAGTAATTTTGGCGAAGAAGAAGAAAATAAATTATTAAAAGAAGAAATAAATGGTAGTGAAGGTCGTTATTTAAATATTTATAAATTTGTCCACATTATAAAGTAGTAAATAAATATCCCAATTAATTAACTTAATTACCAGTTTTTTAATTTGAATGGTCGTTAGAAGAGGAAGGGGAGAAGGAAGAGCCTAAATGAATACGCTTTACTATAAGGAAAGATTCTTTTCAATCCAAGGATATTTACAAAAAATAAGCTTAACTTTATTAAAAAATAAAAATAATTTTCTAGAAAATTCGAAGGAAGTTTTTGCACCAATCAGAAATTTTGTTTTTGATAATAATGAAGAAATAAAACCAATTTCAGAAGAAAATAATTTAAAAATAGGTAAAAATAAATTTGCTTTAAAAAATTAAAGAAAAATTCTGTTTTTAAAGAAAACCAACAAAAAATAAACGAAAAAGAATTACAGCAACAACAACAACCAACACAATTTTCATCAGAAAATCCAACACAAGAACAAATTAATTTTGAAAAAATGTTACAAGTAAATAAATTAATTTTATTTTTTTAATTTTAATTTAAAATTATTTAGATTCTTAAAAATCCAACAAAATTTAATATTTCATCAAATGATACTTCCTCCTCCTCTGATGAATTGGAAATTAAAAAAACAAATTTAGAGACAAAACAAACAGAAAATGAACAAAAAGTGAACTAATTTAAATTAATTTGAACTTTAATTTTTAGCAAATAAATCAACAAAATATTCCATTAAATACAGCAACATTACAAACAATTGGAGGATTTTCTAATAATAATATACAAAAACAAATTATTAATGGGCAAAATGAAAGTGATTCTGATTCGGATTTTTTTAAATAAATTTTTCTGAAGTATTTGTTTAGAGTTTACCATTTGCTTAGTAAGGTTGTCGGATAGCTGGAAATCCTCGGGTATCCGGATCCGATATCCGAACGGAAAATTTCCGGATATCCGGCCTTTTTTCGGATCCGGATCCGACAACCTTATGTTTAGGAAAAAAAATACCTAATTATTTTTAAGTTTATCAAAAAAATCGAAATGTAATAGTAAATATTAAATTGTGGAACGATATTAATTAAATATATGTATAAATGAGATTAAAAAGCCTTTTTACAATTAATTGTTTTACAAAAAATTATTTTTTCTTTAAAAATAATTTTCTTCTTTCAATTTTTCTTCCCTCAAAATTTCTTCAAACAAAATTTTCATTCGGCACAATTTTAACTCCATTTCTCTGCTTCTCATTATTTTTGTTGTCTTCTTTCACATATTTTCTTTTAGGAATAAAAGGTAAATAACGAAGAATTGGGAAGGAGTCGATTATTTGTTGGAATTTATTTGGATATAAATAAACATCTTAAGTTAAATTTTAAAATTATTCCGGCAAAATCCTCAATTTTTTACCCAATATTTTTTGTTAAAAAGGAATTATTTTAGAATAATTATTGTGAATAATTTTTTAATATATATATTTCCGAACACGTAGTGCGACACTTGCGGACCGACTTTTGCGGACCGACCTTTGCGGACGGACATTTGCGGATTGCGGATAGACATTTGAGGATCAGACATTTGCGGACGACATTTGCGGATTGCGGACCGACTTTTGCGGATCGGACATTTGCGGACCGTTTTTGGTAAAAAATTTAAAAAATTAAATTTAATTTTCGAAAACGAAAAAAATATTTAAATAAGTTTATTTTAATATCTTTTCGATCTAACAAGTTAGACAAAGTTATGATCGTTTATTTTAGCTCCTTACCTATTGCATCCGTGAAGTTTTTGCTGCTGCGGGGGAAGCTTGGCATGACCATGTCATCGATGATAGGAATAGGATTAAGTTACGAGCCCAGAACCCAGCGACAGTTGACTCCCCGCGAGGCGCTTGTGTAAAGCCCTGCGCGAAGCGCAGGGCTTTACACAAGCGCA